ACAATCCAAAATCTGTGGGACAGTGGGAAAGCAATCCTAAGAGGGGAATTCATAGCAGTACAGGCATATCTCAAACAAACAAGAAAAAGTTCAAATAAACAATCTAACTTCACACTTAAGGGAACTTGAAAAAGAACAACAAACACAGCGCAAAATGAGAAGAAGGAAGGAAATAAAGATCAGAGCAGAAATAAACACAATAGAGTCTGAAAAAAGATACAAAAGATCAATGAAACAAGAGCTGGTTCTTTGAAAAGATAAACAAATTCGACAAACCTTTAACCAGACTCATCAAGAGAAAGAGATAGGACCCAAATAAAGGATCAGAAATGAAAGAGAAGAAATAGCAACTGACACCAAGGAAATACAAAGGATTGTAAGAAAATATTATGAACAACTATATGCCAAAAAACTGGACAACCTGGATGAAATAGATAAATTCTTAGGAACATACAAACTTCCAAAACTAAATCAAGAAGAATCAGAAAATCTGAACAGACAGATTACACCTAATGAAATTGAAGCAGTACACACCAAAGCCCTGGACTGGATGTCTTCATAGCGAATTTTACCAAACACTGTGAAAAGAACTAACACCACTCCCTCTCAAACTATTTTATAACATTCAAGAGGAGGGAAGGCACCCCAACTCATTTTACAAAGGCCATCATTATCCTAATTCCAAAGCCAGATAAAGGCACTACAAAGAAAGAAAATTAGAGGCCAATATCCCTGATGAATATAGATGCTAAAATCCTCAACAAAATATTAGCAAATTGAATATAGCAATGCATCAAAAAGACCATACATCGTGATCAAGTGAGATTTATTTTGGGAATGCAATGTTGGTATGTGTTTGCAAGTCAATAAATATGATACAACACAAAAACAAAATGAAGGATAAAACCACATGATCATATCAATAGAAGCCGAAAAAGCATTTGAAAAAAACCAGCATTCATTTATGATAAAAACTCTTAGCAGAGTGAGATTAGAGGGAACACACCTAAACATAATAAAGCCCACATATGACAAACCCATGGTTAACACTATACTCAATGGGCAAAAACTGCAAACATTCTCCTTAAGATTGGGAACAAGATAGGGATGTTTGCCTTCACCTTTCTTATTCATCATAGTACTGGATGTCTTACTCATAGCAGTCAGACGAAAAGAGGAAATAAAATGCATCCAAATTGAAAAGGAAGAAGTAAAACAGTCTTTATTTGCAGATGACATGATATTCTACATAGAGAACCCCAAAGATTCCACCAAGAGACTACTAGAACTAATAAATGAATTCAGCAAAGTAGCAGGATACAAAATTAATATCCAGAAATCAGTTGCATTTTCATATGCCTATAACAGACTAACAGAAAGGGAAATTAAGAAAACAATTCCATTTACAATTGCTACAAAAAGAATAAAATACCTAGGAATAAACCTAATCAAGGATGTAAAAGATCTGTACTCAGAAAATTACAAGACACTTAAGAAGAAATTGAAGAAGATACAAGTAAGTGGAAGCACATACCATGTTCATGGACAGGAAGAATTAACATTATTAAAATGTCCATACTACCCAAAGCAACCTATATATTCAATGCAATTCCTATCAAGATTCTGATGGTGTATTTCACAGAACTAGAATAAAGATTTCAAAAATTTATATGGAACCACAAAAGGCCCTGCATACCAACAGTGACCCAGAGAATGAAGAACAAAATTGGAGGAATCACCCTACCTAATATCAAACTACACTATAAAGCCACAGTCATCAAAACCACCATAAAAACAGACATGTAGATCAGTAGAACTGAATAGAGTGCCCAGAAATTAACCCATACCTTTATGATCAATGAACATTCAACAGAGGAAGCAAACATATACAATGGGCTAAAGATAGTTTATTCAATAAATGGTATTGGGAAAATTGGACAGATACATGCAGAAAAATGAAACTAGACCACTTTCTAACAGCACACACAAGAATAAATTCAAAGTGAATCAAAGACTTCAATGTTAGACCTGAAGCCATACAAATCATAGAAGAAAACATAGGCAACAAAATCTCAGACTTCGCTCATAGCAATGTTTTATTGGATATATCACTCCTGGCTAGGGAAACAAACAAAACAAAACAAAACAAATGTGACTGCATCAAACTAGAAAGTTTTTGCACAGGACCTGAATAGATACATATCTAAAGAGACATACAGACAGCCAATAGACATATGAAAAGATGCTAAATATCACTAATCATCAGAGAAATGCAAACTAAAACCATAATGAGATACTATCTCACACTTGTCATAATGGCTGTCATCAATAAATCAACAAACAACAAGTGCTGGCGATAATGTGGAGAAAGGGGAACCCTTTTGCATTGTTAGTGGGAATGCAGACTGGTGCAGCCACTGTGGAAACGAGTATGGAGATACCTCAAAAAATTAAAAATGGATCTACCTTTTGACCCAGCCATCCCACTTCTAGGAATATATCTGAAGAAACCCAAAACACTAATTCAAAAATAACATAAGTACCCCTATGTTCACTGCAGTGTTATTTACAATCATCAAGATACGGAAGCAGCCCAAGTGTCTATTAGATGAGTGGATAAAACAACTATGAGACTTTTACACAGTGGAATACTACTCAGCTGTAAAAAAAAAAAAAGAAAGAAAGAAAGAAAGAAAATTTTACCCTTTATGACAGTATTGATGGACCTGGAGAACATTGTGCTAAGAGAAATAAGCCAGTCAAAGACAAATACCATATGATTTTACCATGTTATATAATATAATGAACAAACTGAATGAGAACAATAGGGACAGACTCATATGTCAGATGGAGAACAGGATAACAGCTAGTGGGGAGTATACGGTAGGTGGGAGAGAGACGGAGCAAAAAGGAAAAAGGACTCATGGACATGGATAACAATGTGGGGAGTGCTGGTGGGAGGGGGCTATAAGGAAACTAATGGTAATGGGAAAAAATACAATGAAGATTAAATAAACACACACACATCAACACTAACACACTACTGGCTCCGTTTCTCTGCAGAACCCTAATACAGTATCCCATAAGCTAACTAACAAAGTTGGGATGTAACAGTGGGCTTAATGTCTTCTTTACAGTCAGCACTGTGCGTGTGGACCCAAGTGGTGCAAATATATGTACCTGTTGACCTCGCAGCCTTACCAAGTACTTTGTTGAATCTCCTATAAGTGACTTTTAGCAGGAATTCAAACCTTTTAAGGTAGACTTTGAGAGCTCCCTCAACAAAAGTATAATTCAAGTGTCCTAAATCCATGTCACAATTTGCATACTAGAACATGTTATCTCAGTAATTTTTCCCTTAAAAAATTTTTAAACCTTTTTCAGATGTGTTGCAAATACTTTCCTATTCTATTACTTGTCCTCTAACTTTTTTATATGTATATTACTATATAGTCTTAAATGTTTAATATAGTCATATTGTCAATCTTCTACTTTATAGCTTCTGGATTTGAATATTTTACTTCAGGGTAAGAAAAATACTATTTTATATTTTCTTCTAAAACTCCTCAGATTTTACATATTGCTTTTTAACTCACCTGAATATTTTTTGTATAATGTGTGAAATAGGGCTCTATATTTACTTTATTTCAAGTAATAATGATCCACACACCTTATTTGTTGAATAAGCCTTATTGTCCCCATTGACTTGAAGTATCAATTTAATGATATATTACATTGTTAGATATATAGGTTTGTTTCTAGATTGCTCATTTTATTTCATTGATCTACTTGATTATTTCTGTGCTGGTGTCATGTTGTTTTAATTGCTGAGACTTTATAATGGATTTAAGTTTTTTAATATTTTGTAATGGATTTTGGCATTTAAAAAATAAATAAATAAAATCAATCTGCATTTAAAAAAAGAAAGAAAGAAAGAAAGAAGAAAGGAGGTCCCACCTTTTGTGACAACATGGATGGAACTGGAGAATATTATTCTAAGTGAAATAAGCCAGTCAGTGAAAGACAAACACCATATGATCTCACCTCTAAGTGGAATCTATTCAACAAAATAAACTAATGAATGAAATAAACCACAGGCATGGAAACACGGAGCAGACTGAACGTGACCAGAGGGGTCAGAGAAGGAGGACAATGGTGGAAAGAAGGAGAAGGGACTGGACAAAGAACATGTAGGAATGGCCCATGGACATGGACAACAGAGTGGGAATTGACTGTGGGAGAGGGGGGCGCGGTGGGGTGGGTAGAGGGGGGCAAAGGGGGAAAAATGGAGACAACTCTAATAGATTAAATATGATTTAAAAATAAAACACTTTTAAAAAGTGTGGAATTATTTAGTGTGGAGGACCGTTTTTGAGGATATCAATCACTTTCAGTGCTTTCCTCTGAACTGCATGGTGGGCCGCTGCGTTTTTTGTGCTTGAGGCACTGCCATAACCTTTGCCTTGTTTATTTTTAGCAGAGGAAACTTAGTTTTGACTCCAGAGAAAGGAGAGAACATTGACTAAATCAGTTTTCAAAATCATCCTGATCATTCCCATCAGTGGTCAGCATTGTTATAGGGTAGTCTATAAAAATTTCAAACAGCCAATAAAGACTCATGGCCTGAGCCTGACTGACGGTTGAAAGGGTTCGCCTAATCTTGGGGACCCCGCGCCTACTCACTCTTGCCTGGTGAGCTCTTAGGCACTCACCTGCCTTTAGGCACAGGGCTTTAAATAAATGTCAGAGACTTGGTTTAGAACTCAAGGATGATTTCTATTCCCCAAGGACATTTTATTATCCATAATTATGCTTTTTCCTCTTCCTCCCCCACCTCCTTCTCTTCTTCACTCTGACATCCTCATTTATCCACCCGGGATTGTACTTGGTTCATCAGTGCAGTTCCCCGTGAAGAAAAATGTCCCAGTCATTTCAAGCCTTGTCAGAAGTCTTCGGCTCCATTACTTCACCATCCATTTCTGTGATTTCTGCTTTGCTTTTTAAAGCTTGACTTGACAGCTGGGGAAGAACGTTTTCCTTTCTTTCTGCATCAGGTGAATGGCCATCATTGAAAAGGAGGCCAACCATGTCATGGCTCCTGTCACTGTGTAAGCAAGACCTAAGAACAGGCTGCTGCCTCCACTCCACGTCAGGGTGGAAAGAACAACTGATTTTTCTCCGTGGAACCCGGTTACAGGAAAGTCTAAGAAAAGATCTGTTAAGGATCTGTCTTCACACTTCTCAGCTGTACCACTGCGTAAGCTAAGTACATTTGGTTGAACCATATACAATTGCTGTTCTTGTAGGTAAAAACAAGGTTGATGATTCAATTTCATATGGTCTAGTATTTACCAAATAGTACGTTGTATCTTACTGGAATGAAATTAAGTAAAAAGAAGCCTTGCCTCTACATAGTTGTAATGCATGAAAGAGATTCCGACACAGATAGATCTGAATGACTTACGGACAAAAGAAATGAACAAATATATTTAAACCCAAGAAAATGAAAAGAATACAGATAGTTTTACAGCAAACCTAAATTTTTGTTTTATGAATCAGGAGACCCAGGGCAGGCTAAAGTCCTTCATAGACTAAGTAAGGTTTGAATTCCTACGTCAGGGAAAATTCTTCAAGAGGAATGAAGAACAAAAAATAGTGAGCTGAACGGCAAAACATTTTCGATGTGCAAACCAAACGTGGGGCATTGGTCTGGGTTTTAAAGACCAGCATCCCTCACTGCTGGGTGGAAACAGTTTGAAGTGGGTTTGCTATCGTTAGCATTTTAATGATGTCATTTTGATTATGCATGTGGTCTGGGGTTTTTAAACATCTGGTGCCTTTTGTAAACCAACTAATAAACAAATAAAGGCTTCTCATAGCAACGGCACAGGGCAGCAGCATTTCCCAGCAAAGGGCTTAAGAGGCCTCAAATCCCTTGGCAGCACACTATTTATTAAAGCACAAGTAAACTTGTTAGGAAACCAGGTCTCTCTACTTCACATCAAAATTCCTCATTGTCACCAGGTCCTTGGGTGCCACCTCCACTCATCTGCCTGTTTTCTCACTCCTTCAGCTCTGTGAGAGGTCTTTTCCTCACACAGAGAACATCTTTTCTCTGTTAGAAGTGGTAGGCATTTTCTGCAGCTCAGGCTTAGTTCTCTGTGTGAATCAGGCAGCCCATGAGGCTGGCTGAGTAATACTCACACGAGGGCTCAACCCAGGTAGAACAGAGATAGGACTGAAGCTCAAGGCTGAGGTTCTCCATGGAAGATTTAGATCTGAGAGACACCAGCTTTAAAATATGACTGTGAATGAAGTCACCCACCAGGAGAAATAGAGTGTCTCCTTTGTTTGGAACACAGACTCCCTTCCTCTTCCCCTCAACCCAAGCTCTGTCATGCACTGTGAGGACAGCAGTTCCTGATGGTTGTACCTTCTCCCCAATCCTGTTTATTGATTGCAACTAAAACTGCTTTACTGGTAAGGCCATCGCAGATAAAGATGAGGGGATTAGAAGGTCCAACTCCTTCTGATTCTAACTCATTGTCAATATTTTTTTGGGGGGGGGGGTAAGGGGGGATTTGTAAAAATCTTATTTAAAAGATAGCATTCTATGGCTTACCCTTTGATTTGTATATATAAGGCTGCAAAAGAGAGAGCCATTTATGGCTTTCATTTTTACAAACTGGAGGCCTTGCTAAAGGAAAGAACTGAAGGCAAACGGTCCTGGTCAGGAAACAAAAGAAGGCAGCAAACTGACAGGTAGATGGTGTCACATCGGTGGGGATATCTTGGACTGAGGAATGTCCCCACCCCCTTGTCAGGATGGAAGTGCCCTCACTCTACTCTTGAACAGAAAAGATGTAGCAGGGAACTGCAGCACAAGCAGCCATTCACTATCCCCAAGAATTTCTCATTCATGCTTCCCAAGGTGTAAAGAAACGGAGGAGGCATTTGGTGCTAAGGTCTTCTGTCTCGCTGGGCTCCTGCGAGCCACTCCTAACAGTGGCCCTGAGATGCCCCGGCTGATGTCTCAAAGCTGTGGACAAGCCCTGGGAACATCCTGCCTCCCAGAGAGTTCTGCCTCAGGGAGAATCAGGAAGACGCTGTAAGTCTGAAGACCAGAGTTAGTGTAAATTGTGTTTTAGTATATAGCTTTTTTAAAGATAGTGTTTGGTGTCATTTTGAAGTTAAGTCTTTTTTTGTTTTAAAGTCAAGGGTTACCTTTATATTTTTGAATTAAGTGGAAAAATTCAGAGCCTCATTTTAAAGCGTATGTCTCCAACTTGGACTGTCCATAACCAAAAGGCACAGGCCCCGGCAAGCTGGCTCACGCCTCCAAGGTGGGGGGTGGGGCGCGGCTCCTTCAGTGCAGAGCTCGGGGGCTCCCCAAGTGGGTTGGGTGAGCTGGGGCTGCCCCTCGACTCCAGGGCTCCTTTGGTCTATGGTGCTTTTGTCTCGAATAAAAGGTTCTATAGTGTCTCTCGGTTTTAGTTAGTTTTAGTCCATATTCCAGATTTACTGTTTAGCACCCCACTCTCCTTCATTTCCACGTCCTCCGTCTCACCCCGTCCTGTACAGCAGGCTTCTCCTCACGGTGTTAGATCTCTAGGCCAAGTGCTGAATCTTTCTTGGGGGACAGAAATAGTCCTTCCCTACTTGTCTGCATCTACTTACTCGATACTGGTATTAACTATTAGCTCTTAAGACAGTACACATTTGATTATATAAAATGGGGACAAATGGCTCTATGAAGGAAAGACAGTATTGTCTATGTATTTCTTTACATAGATAGATCTGAATGAAGAATAGAAAACCATAGGATGAAATAATTCAACAACTAGTACCTAGATGGACACTGATTTTCCTGCACTGCAAAAAGAAGTAGTATGAAAGGATACTGTAGGTTATGTGGAAACTGTAATTACCAGCAGGCAAGCCTTCAGTGAAATGCTGTATTCGATTGAGTCGACGGTGCAGTTTTTTGAAGGTGGGAAAGGCTGCTGTCCGCATCCACACAATGAAGTCCTCATTAATGAAGCCGTTGTTTCCAGAATCCTCTTCATCCAGCTCATAGATAGGCTTGGGCCAGTAGGGGGGCTTTGCAGTTCCTGCAGGAAGAGAATAATGGATGTGGTGGAGAAAAATCATCTACTGCCTTCAGTTTTCCTTACAATGTAGAGAATGAAATAACTTTTGGGTTCTTGAGGAGGGAGAAATAGAAATTAGTCTTTTTAAAAAAAAACATGTGTGTATATAAGTCGCCTGAGTATGCAATCATTAAAAATAATGGTTATAGAGACTCGAAGGAAATGTGGGAGGGGCATATTGGTGACATTAAAAAATCATATGTGGGTTATGTCAATGACAATCAAGACATAAATCTACTGCAGGACATCGGAATCTACTTCAAAAGTTTGTGCTTATTTTTAAGAGTGTATCCAAGGACACTGCTTTACCTCAGGTAGCTATAGAAGGTCCACTTATAGCACTATGTAGGCATGACTTTTCATTTAGATCAAATGAGTCTCCATGTAGTTTCACTTTTTTATTAGAATTTTTTTTTCTGTAATCAAAGGAAACCTCTGATGTGTTGGCTCCAGTAGCACAAAAGAACTTTGTAAACGGCTAAATGAGGCCAGCTTTACATCACTGTCTTCAGATGCTTCACAGAAATATCAGAATAAATTAATTATAATAATGGCTTGTTTATTTATTTTATTTTGATTTGGTTCTTCATGGAATCAGAGCAAAGTTTTCTGATATTCAAATTTGGAAAATAAAACCTCAGTACTATAACAAATATGACTATAAAGTCAGTTTAAAAATTCAACAATCAAATGTAAATTTTTTGGTTTTGTAGTGATAAAATAAATGAAAATTCAGTGGAGCACAACACCCGAGTGGATAATTTTCTTGGTTAGTTGAGAAATTCAAAAAGAAAGGTACTTAAAATCATTTGAAGTATATACACAATTCACAAATACACCTAAACAAGCCACAGTATTTTATTAATCAGAATAAGAGCTGTCATTGTGCAAATATGAATATTTTTATATGTCCACATTTAGAGAAACTGAACTGCAAAGTTTTTCCAATGACATGTATGCTAAATGAAAGAAATGCTTCAGCATGGTAGTAAGTGCGGTCTGCCTTTCTACACACCATCAACCGGAGTTTTAGAAATGTGTGAGCTCCTGAAGAACTAATTTGTATATCTAAGGGTGCATCCTATGATGATTGTGAACTTTGTTTAGTAAATGAGCCATATAATTTTTATTGACTTCTGTTCAAAATAGTTGAAAAAAATGTTTAAACTACCTGCAATACAGAATGCCAAAAAAACTTTAGTTTTTGAAGATTTAATAAACTGCAAAGAAAAAGATATTGAAATTTACCCCTCTAAAAGCAAGGGAATAATTTAACATATTATATGATGAGAGTGTAAAATGCATATAAGATTTAAGTTTAAATTATATAATTGTGCTTTGGAATATCTCAATGTATATTTTGATGGAGCTCCTGTTTTTAACTAAATAAATTTTCTTCTCTGCTGGAATTAGATAATATCAAGGAGGTCTAAGATCTTGTAGCATCTAAATTTAATAATACATTCAAAAGAATCATGAATAGAAAAGAATGTGAGGTCAAAAAGATAGTCCCCATGAAAATATTTGGGTTACAATACCAACATATTTCAATACAAAAACCTGAAACTGAGAATATCCTCCATTTAGTAAAATTGGTTGTGAGCATAATAGGTATCTCAGCACCTATAGGTATTTTTTCAATTAAAAAAAATTAGGGTCAAAAGAGAAGAATCAGTTTAAGGTATTAACAAATACAAATGGATTAACTATAAAATGAAACTTGAAAAAGATTATAGATAACTTTGTAAAAAAAATTAAAAAGAATATTTTAATAAAATATTTTTTAAAGAAAAATTCATTTGACAAGTACAGGGGTGTGTGATGAAGACAGATTATGGCTAAGAAACTGATAAAGTTTGTGATTATGCATCCAGAATTATTATTTTGTGTTATCTTTTTTTAAAAGAGTTTATTTATTATTTTTACAGAGAGGGGAAGGGAGGCAGAAAGAGAGGGGGTGATACATCTATCAGTTGCCTTTCGCATGTACCCCCAACTGGGGACCTGCCTGTAACCCAGGCATGTGCCCTGACTGGGAATTGAACCAGTGAACTTTCTGTTTGCAGGATGACATTCCAACCCACTGAGCCACACCAGTCAGGGCGCTTATGCTATCTTTTAATGCTTAGGTAATAAAGTAGCTTTTTAAGAAGCTGGTGTAATGTACACAGGCATGCTTTAATATTTTAAATAGCATCATTTTTAAAGTAGTTCGTAATAGAATTACAGGTCTACCAAATGATCATGTCAATTTATTGATCAATAAATACACATTTCAAATAAATATATAACTTTAGTTATTCTACACCCGCTTTCATTCTCAAAAGTGCACCAGCTCAGAGCATGAATAACATGGCCACCCTAATTGTAGACGAAGCAGCAAGTTCCTTAAAGCATTGCCTCGTTACTAACAACGGTAAACCGGGAGGGAGGCAGAAGGGCCCCAGCCGTCTCGCGTTCCCGGCAGGGGCGTGAGAGAAGTGCTCACGGGGCGGGAAAGTCAGAACCGAAAGGCAGTCAACAAAGAAGGAGGATGGAGCGGTCCTAAATATCTCCTCACACATGAAAACCGAAGTTTCTAAAAAGAAATAAAAAATATTAAGTTAATGTACGGATCTTACCTGCAAATGCACTAGGAAGATTATTGGAATATGGATTCTGGAACTTGATGAACTTATCGGTCCACCATGTAATTCCACTTGATAACATTGGGACTTTGATATATATAGATGAATTAAGGTTGTACAAAAGAATAATGGTGTCTGTAAGAAAATTAAAAATTGTGTTAGAGATGCAAGCATTTTTGCCACCTTTGACATGCAAAACTGGACATGAAAAATAAACCAGGGTTTTAGCAGACTCCACATGCCTTCATGCCATAGATGCTGGAATTACAATACTACTTTTTATTTGAAATTTCTTGCTAAGGTCCCAATTATTGAAAAATACTCTTAAACTCCATTTAACTCATGTCTGAACGACTTTGAATCTCTGGTAAGGAAGACCTTACTTGCAAATAAAATACCGTAAGTCAGTGGATAATGGATACAAAATATTTAAAAAAAACACTGCCTCACTCCTGCAGAGGGGATTTTCTGGACATTTAGGTTTCACGCTTATGAAAGGGCGCACCATGGAGAAAGAACAAATCACCTACCATTGAATATGCTATTGGCAATAGCTCCACAAGGACAGATGGGGGTCCCATTGCGGGTGTTTCTGAATGAATCACAGTTTCCGACATTCTGAAAGCACGATGATACATGATTGAGAAGTGCTTTTGGTAAACCCCTTTAGAATGTTGAAAATGAGAACACTGGTAATGTAAATCAACGCACACTAATTTATTGACACAAAGGTTATGGACTACTAACTGATTTTCCCCAGCCTTCCAGCTCACTTAGACTAGGAAATTTTTGTGTTTTAGAGAGGGGGAGTGTGTGTGTAATATTTTTCTCTTTTACAATACATGGCACACCCAATATATCTGCAGGAAGGAACTTTACCTTGCTGGCTATGTTAAATATTGCCTTAAGTCTACAATGGAATACACTTTAAAACTTGTTTTTATTGAAGTGTGATTTATATTCCAAAAGGTATAAAAATCATGAGTCCATTGCTGGATGACTTGTCATAGGGAATCTATCTACCTAAAAACCAGAATATATTTTTAAAAGAATGGTTGGGAAAAATCATTTGTTTATTACTTTCATATAATAACGTCAGTGTGGAAAAAGGGTTTCCTTCTAGCTTTTCTTGCCAGCATGCTGAATATCACCTATCAAAAATAAAATTTTGCAGTCCTAGGTTTATAAGGGTAGTCAATTAAACCAAAGGCTTTTATTCAAGTAGAGCCAAATTTATTAAAGTTGGCTGGATTGAAGGCCCCAATTATAGGAAAGGCAATGCTAGATGTAATGTGACCCAGACAAGACAAACTGCTCAAAGTTACCTTCGAAATGGATGGTGAATTCATCAACTAAAATGGGCAACTTTAAAGATAACTACAGATATTAAGTGTGAAGGAATAACATTGAAGTCAATGGGTCCATTGACTATATACCATCAACGTTATGAACAGAAACATAAAAGCCTGAATTGTGGTTGAAAGGTACTTCAAGATTTGCCCTTCTTACACATTCATTATTACAAAGATTTGAACAATCCAATATGTATCCAATTTTAATATAAAATGCTGTCAAATAAAAAAAAGGTCGGTACATGAAAGGATAATCATTTAATGGGACAAGATTCATATCACCGCTCTGAAGAGGAAAAGTTCTCCTTTTATCAATGGCAGTTATCCTGACTATCCAGCCGCTTCAATTTATGCAAGAATGAAATGAGCATTTCTGTCTTGTAAAACCACAGCTCTCAAATTTATTTTTCATACTCTCTTTTAGACTGAAAGATCCATCTGGTTTTAACAAAAGGAGTATTGCATTATGCCAAAGTTAATGAAGCCTTACTTACCTTTACATCTTTACCCATCAGCTGGATATTACTTCTAGAGAGACTATATCGATAGAGGTTCTGATGGAAGCCATACAATTTGTAGTACATGTAAACATTACCCTGTAAAGGAGAAAAGCAAAAAGTAACAGAGTAAGAAAAATAAACTGAAATATTAATAAACATGGACAGAATTTTCAAAATATGAAAAGTAGTAAAGAAAAAAATGATGGGAACTGAGTTTCTTTATATCAAACAGAAACCCAAGAAATAATTTTTAAAAAGCAACACTGGATATAATATTGAATGCCAATTGGAATGGAAAAAAATTAAAATAGAAACATAAAAATGAATGTTGGAAAATCCTGGTCAATAAAGAATTATTAAAATGATTAAATAACTTACTTCTAGTTTTTATAAGCCTACTGCACCCCTGCCTTGAAAAAATTTTTTTATAACCAGGCTTTGTATTCTCAATATATAAAATCTGACTTGACAAATATTGTCATTTCCCAGTATGCTAGAAAAAAATGTTTTGTCTAGGGGTTGTTGTAGTAGGTGACAAAGTCATGTGATTTCAAAGCAAACCCATGAAGTGTAATTCAAAATTGGAGCCACTGAACATATTTTGGTACATATGCGTGCTGGCTCTTTGTGGCCTAGTTCCTGTTGTTTTTGTTTTTTTATCCTTAGGATCTAGCACAGTACCTGGCACACAGTACTTGCCCCAAAAAAGGTGAACCGCTTGTTATGGACAAAAAGAAGGAATAATTCATTTACCCCCAAAAGGGTGATTTTCACCTTAGCTATAAGTCAACTTGTTGCTATGAGAGACATGTCTTTTCATGCCCACTGCTGTATGAGGCTGCCCAGTCGTCGGCTGCTATCATGCTTCTACCTGTACTGTCACGCACCAAGGCTCTGGAAATTCTCTAGGCTCAGACTTGATAGAGGTTTTACTAATAGCATATATAATGCAAAAGAAATAGCCAGTGTAGCTGTTTATAATTAATATAGGAGCTACCTCCAAAATAATAAGGCCTATATCCAAAAATATATGACAGCATAACATTTATTTTAAGTGCCTTCCATATGTTACATGCTATATTCAGTGCCAGAAATACAAAAGTAATTCTTCGCGATCCCCCAAGTCAATTGGTTTTCTTACACTATACAAACACAGCACTTGGAAAGGTTTTGGCCCCGCCCTTAAGACCTTTAGGAAGCTGAGCATGGAAAATGGAAGCTGGTACCCAAGGCAGGCTGGAAATAAAGGTAACGGTAAGTGTGGCCAGTTACAGAAAACAGCAAAAACCGGCGAGCTTAGTCACTTGTAAGAGAAAAACCCGTGGAACACTGAGAAGGGGAGATGCTGGGTCATGACAAAGAGGCAGCCTGCCACACGCTAGACAGAGAGCAGGGACGTGAAGGTGAACAAGCCAGGCGTGGCGGGAATGGCTGATCACATTTCCTCGCCCAAAGAGGAAACCGCTGTTGTTGACCCTTAACTGTAAAAAAACATGAAATCCACAGAAAGGAATTTACCGTACATTTTCTTGGAAGCTAAAAAGAGAATCCTACTTACCCAAAGCTATATATTCATATAAATGATAAAATAAATAGGCAGAGAACACTCAGCACACTATGGACAGGAGTGTTTTTATAATCTCTTTTCAATGATTCTTGGCCCAAGATTTGGTTTAACAAGGCCTCAAAGATCATCTTTTTGATTAGTTCTGGAGGCACACACTTTATTAAGGAGTATCCCCTCTTTACAACAGTGGCACTTGGTGCAGGATCCTGAGTTTAGGGCCGAGAGTCTTACGTGGAGTCATCGCCGAGCACACGCCTCGTGTGCTAACTGTGGAGTGGAAAGCCTTGTCATTGCCCTAAGTAGTGGGTTGGATTTTTACGGGAAAGCCATTGCCTGAAAGGAATGGTTAGCAGCTGGTAATGCTTCATTGGCCTTTAGGGTTTCAAAGACTACAGACAGATGGGAACTGAAGTCCTTCGGATCTTTTTCTTCAAAAATTTAAGAACTCTGAGCCCCCAAGAAGGAACAACACTGCTTGACATATTGACTTCAGCTTCCTGACTTCCATACTGTGAGAGAATAAATTTCTATTTTATTTCCATCTATCTATCCTCCCCCAAAGTAAGTGACAGTCACTTTTACTTTGGAGGCAGCATGAGGAACCGAGGAAGACAAGAAAGGGTATAGCTGTAGAGAACTAGAATTTTGACCTATAATAAAAGAATAATAAAAATTTGTAAAGCTTCCCCCCACTGGCTTTATATAGATTTCAGTTATAACTCAAGAACAACTCAGTAATTTCCTTATAATTTATATCTGACTTACAAAAATGATTAGAGCTACCCATAATCAATACAGATATATTTGAAATATTACTGACAGCAACATACTTTCTTCTGGGTTTAAGGGGGGAATAAAAAAGAGACACATAAAAACCAAAGCTTACTAGAGCATAAAGCCATGTACTTTAGCACTTTACCTTTCCTCCATTCACTTAATATTTTAGCAAACATTTTCTGCACATCTATCATGTGAAATATATTGCGCTATGTGCTGTGGAGGAAGAGAAGATTCATATGATCATTCAATAAACATTAATTGAGTACCAACAGTGTGCCAGGCACTGTTATGGGTGCTCACGATACAATAGTGATCGACAAAAAACAATACATGTTTATAATAAACTGTTAATTTCTACAGCATATTAGAAGGCAGTAAGTACTATGGAAAAAACAGAAATCACAGCAAAGTAACAAGGATCAGGAGTGCAAGAGGGGAGGGAGTAGACAAGCCATAGTGTGAGACAGGTTGGCCAGCGTAGGCCTTGCTAAAGTGAGAACCGAGCCAAGACCTGCAGGAGGCAGGGGAGTTCACCGAGTGGATATCAGGCACAAGGCAAGAGTATGTCCCGCTTGTCTGAAGAATGAGGAGTCAGTGTGGTTGGTGCGGAGGTGGGTGGAATAGAATGGAGGGGTCAGGTCAGAGAGGAAATACAAAATGAAATCATGTAGGGCCTTGTAAAGCCTTAGGCTTTTTCACTTAGTGGAAAGAGGGGCTATTGCAAGAATTTGTAAGCAAAGGAATAACATAACATGACTTATGCTTTAAAAAGCTTACTCTAGCTGCTCTATTGACACACTGATATAAGCAGGAAGACCTGTTAGGAGATTATTGCAGAAATTCAGGTGTGAGTAGAATGTGGCACGGAGCTAGGTAGTAGCAGCAGAGGTGTGGAGAAGTGGGCGGACTCTGGATATACAGGGTTCGGCACAAATAACAGCCCCCTCCCTTTTTTAATTACAAAACCATAAACATGTAATTCTGTAACGTAACAACATCACAGTCAGGCACACCATATGACATTTTAGGTGAAATGTTCAAATCAAATCTTTAAATTATTACAACCATATTATTACCCTACCAACCCCAGGCAAGCAGGCTTTACTTCTGCCGGACCCTGTATTTTGAAGGTAAACAGGAAGGATTGGGTGTGCGGTGTCAGAGAATGGAAGGAGTCAAGAATGACTCCTGGGTCCTTGGCCTGGGTGCCAGAAGGATGGAGCTGCTATCAGCTGAGGCTGAGAAGTCTATGGGTGGAATAGGGGTTTTTTTCCCCACCCAGGGGAGATATGGGTGTCAGGAGTTCAGTTTTGGAAATGTTGAGCTTCATATATCTGTTAGTCATCCAAATTTAGACATCAGGAAGGTGATTGGAAACACAAGTGTGGATATTGGAAGAGAAGTTTGGGCTAGAGATATAAAAGAGTGTTGGCAATAGATGGCATTCAAAGCCAGGAGGTTGATGATGTTTCCAAGGAGTGAGTGCACATACAGACGGGGTGACCGAAGACTAAGACTAAAACTCTGCAGCTCTCAACACAGAGTTTGAGGAAAACACGAGGAGCAGCAAAGAAACCACAGGAGGGCAGCCAGAGAGCTAGGAGGAAGTCCAGGAGAGTGTGGTGTCCTGAAAGCCAAGAGAAGAAAGTGTGTCAAGGACAAGGGAGTGATCCACCACCTGTGCCCGGTGGGCTGCCAAAGCACCAAGGCCTCGCTGTTGCATTTGTCCACATGGAAGTCATCAGTAACCTTGCAATTTCACTGAGCCTTGCTGAAACTTTCTTAAGAATACACTACTGTCTAAGATCTAGCTTCCCTCCTTCTTTTCCCTTCCCTCCCCGCTTCCTTCCCCTTTACAGGGGTCAGAGCTGTGTTGTGGTCTGACAGCTCCCTCAGCCTCCTCCGGCCCTCTCCCCATTTTCCCTTATGAGCAGTTCCCACAGTAAATCTCTTGCATGTCTAATCCTGTCTTGGCGTCAGCTTCTCAGAGGACCTGGGCTAACTAACACATGACTTTAATCATCCCAAGAGTTGAGACTCTTACTATTTCTTTGGCATCTCTTTCAGTGCCTGACAGCCAGGCCAAGACTGGCCTTAGGGATTAGGCAATTGCAGATGCACAATGACTTGGGGGAACCCAAGGAGAGTCCCACGAGGTGTGACCCCTGACACTAACTCACTGTGTGACCTTGGTCAAGTCACTTAACCTCTCAGCCCATTGATTTTCTCACTATAAAATGAGTGGTTAGATGCCACGATCTCTACAATTCCCTCTTGTGCTGACATTGGAGTAAAACCTGTTTGATTGATATTAAGGATTATGTTACAAAGTTGGGTAAGTAAAGAATCTGGAAACTTAAAAACAAAGGAGAACAAAATTCCAAAGGAGAAAAAAGGGAGGAAGAGTCATACATGAACTCAAAACTCTATAAGATCCCCCTACACCCACCCTGCATTATTTTTTGTATTTTTGGTTTTGAGAAGCATTCGGTGGAAATCATGAACTTCTGGAATAGGAAGAAATCAGCATATAGCCAGCTGAAGTCTCTTGAATTTCACTTACTTGCATTGGGTCTGGCAGGTAAAAAGGAATGGAGCAGGTGCATTCTTTGTCAAAATTAATGGCGTTTTCCCGCAGTTCTGCACAATTTGCACATATATTTGTGTAATTAATCTGTCAGGTAGGAAAAAGAAAAATTAAGAAGACTTGACTTTGGGTCCTGGTCAGGCAGCTCAGTTGCTTAGAGCGTCATTCTGATACACCACGGTTGCGGGTTCTAGTGTATTTTCGGTCAGGGCACATATAAAAATCAACCAATGAATGCCTAAATAACTGGACCAACAAATCGATGCCCCTCTCTCTTCCCCCCTTTTCCTCTCTCTCTAAAATCAATAAGTAAAATTTTAAAAAGAAATAAAAGAAGAAATTCCTTAATTAAAAAAGAATTGACTTTGGGTGGTGGACACACTATGCAATATACAGATGATGTATCAGAGAACTGTACACTTGAAACCTATATAATCTTACTAACCATTGTTACACTAATAACTTTACTTAAAAAAAAGAAATTACATGACTGTATGTCTTAAAATTCAAGCCCTGAGTTCACCAAAGCCTTCAAGCTGTGTGGGTCAAGGGCATGTTGTCTGGCCGTGAATACAGGGCAGCCCACTGTGCGGGATGTGTATTTCTGCAGACGCTCTAGAGGAGTGGGTCTTCCTGCTGTCTTTCATTTTGGGACCTGCAGCATTTTGCCACTGACTGGAATTCAGTGTTTTTATTGCATATTTATGTAACCTGTTGTGATGAAGCCTTATGCCTGGATCATAAAGAGGTGTCATTAGGAAAGTATTAGTCAACGTCTCATAAGAACTGGGCCTATGGCCTGTGTCTAATCAGCTTTATGGGGAAGTCACTTCACTGTTTTTCCATTTTATTGTATGGAAAATATTTATACTAATGAATTCTTCTACATGGCATATAGAGGAAGTTATTAAAAATGACCAAACGTAGAAAAAGAACTGTTTCCAAAATGTAGGCTTATTGACATGTGTGGAATCATTCTGATTTTAAAATATTGTTACATCTGTTTTTTAAAAGTAGAGTGGACGCTATAAAAAAAGGGTAGTATGTCTCGAATGAGCGAACCCTGTGAGCTCTGGCTGAGGGACTCAGTTATGTGAAGGTGCAGCTGGAGGAAGAGGCCGGAAATGCTCCTCTCAGGTGCCCAGGGGTTGTTGTGGGTGCTGCTGTGGGCTTCTGCTTTCCCTCAGTGTGTTGGAAAGCACTTAGAAGACGACACTGAAGACCTTCAGAATGTTACCTTCAGAAAGGAAATGGATCCCAGTGTATCCAGACCAAGTGGTTTTGAATACTCAATGTATATGATGGAACCAGTCACATCACTAATAAGTCTGTTATCCAAGGGTGTAGGAATAACATACATTGGACCCAAGGTTACCTGACACCTTCTCAGCATTTCCACAGGCAGACCCAGGATTTGCAGCAGTTAGTCAGAAAATTTTCACAGACTCAGAATGCTTATTAGAAGCCATAACCCTGCCAGTCCCCTGGAAAGGACCATCCACCAGGGAGGTACTCTCAGAACGTAAAGCCAAGTACCCGTCAAGTAGTCCGGGATGAAAGGTGGTGGCCTGGCTGTTACTATGGACTATCCTGTCCAACCTTTTGTGGATACACCAAGTGACACAAACTCATCCTGGAAATCTGTCTGGAGACAGCAGGACTGGAGGCAGCTGGAATGACTTTTTATAAGATCAGGTCAAATGAGGTTTACTGTCTTATTTCTCCCTTATGTGTTCAAACTTAAAGAAAAATATATTGATACTTAACTCCGCTGATGAATTTGCAGTATTTTTAACTGTTGTTTCAGTCTTAAAATTTTTAAAAGGAAGATGTTATTTTAGAACTGACAAAGTAACAAAGAACATATTTGGTGGAGAAAAAAGAAGATTATGGGAATGGGGGAGGAGCTAGGAAACAAGGGAGTGACTTTCTCCTTGGTAAACTGCCAGTGGGATTTAGGATTCTTTGCAAGAGAAAATTACAAGACAGAAGTAATTTTAACTCCTTGCAAAACCACTTGGCGTTTTGAAGCCAAATAGATAAAGTGTTAATACTAAATTAAAGATTAGCCAAAAGGCTACTTAATTGTATTTAGATGCTTATATTAATGGAAATCATTCTTTTAACAGACAGCAATATAACGGGGCGTGGACTGGGGGTCCCCGAAAATAGCAAAGCATATTCCCCGCAAACCTGGATTGGGAGAAGGGGGAGAAGACGGTATGGCTGACATTTAAGGTACTTTGCATAACCATGGCAAGTTAATAGCTATGCTGCCTCCCGGGACAAATGGAGTAAATGACTTTAAGACCTATCGTGACTCTGAGATAGCCAGGGGAGGCAGATGCTCCTGTGTCAGAGGGAACTCTTTCCCTGACTAAAGAGGGCAGCCAAAAGGAGGTAAAAGATATGGGAGAACTAGCAAAAGCAGCACATCATAGGAGAGGCTGGATATGAGGTCACATAGGAAGTTCCAAGACAAGCATTTAAAATAAGGCTGGGCTGAAAGAGAAGGAAATTGCACCATGCAGCCTGGTGTAGGGAGGAAGAAGGAGCCATGCGGTCTGTAGTGAAGTAGTAGAAGCCATGAAAGGGTGTAAGAAGAGCTGATGGAGCTGTCTGGGACCTGCCTAACCAGACAGCACAGGTTTGTGGGAGATGCCTGGGGCACGGACTGAACTGTGACCGGGAATGCAGACTTCTGCTTCTCTGAAGAACATACAGAGAAGCCACTCTCTTGGGCATGTGCCTCCCTGCACTCCACCCTGCTCCAGTGTAACACGGCACACGGTTCCCTGAAGCACTACATGGAGGCTGAGGACAACGTGCCTCAGATCCTGAAGGAGCGAGCTGCTGTGAGAGGGGACGGGGACTTTGAAACCCACGTGTGCACATTCCAGAGGGAATGGAGAATGGTTTGCGTAGCCAGCTTAAGAACAGATAAGGATATGGGGAACTTCCGTGCATGGTTTTTGCTTATAGCCTGGCAGGGAGTAGGGGAAGTGCTGGGTCTCATGGGAGAGCAGGGCTCGGGGGAGGCGTGCTCTCAGCCCCCCAAGAATGGAATCCTGTAGATAAAAACCAATTTCCTTCAATACTAATTGTTGGGTCATGCATCAAGGCACCACGTGGATGAGACCCAGTTTGTTCCTTTACAGAGGGTTTGAACTATTATTTTGTAAAATATCGATGCCTTTTCTGTTGGTGAAGCTGCATTCTAATTTTTAGAAAGCTTTAAAGAATAACACTGTTATTGCAGTTGAGAGCTGGCACACTGAACCGTGACCAAGGAAACTGGGATCCTAGTTCAGCCAGTCCCTGACCTGAGTTAAATACTTAAACTCTAGGGACCACACTCTGTTCATCAGCATCATTTCATCTAGCAATTGATTGGTCTGCGAGGTCTGTGGAAGAAAAGGGGCCACATGCAAAACCTGACAAGCTCAGGGGAGGCCTATGTGGCAGCCTTACAAACTCAGAGACCTGACCACATAGGATGGTCTGAAATTAAAACTTTTTAAATAGAAGCAATTCATGGTAGGTCGTCATGTCCTAGGCTGGTATTTTTCCCTAACAATGGCCAGTCTTTACCTTAACTGAACCTGTCTTTTGTCTTTTTTGCATCTACGATAACATACCTTTGGAATGTCCAATTTCCTTTTTCCATACCCTCAAAGGACAGGCCATGCACCAAGGGGAGACCATAGATCTCCCCATTGTTATTGTCATCATGTTAATAGTCAACTGCTAACTATCCTGTACACACCTATGTAAAAGTTGTGTCTATCATTTTACTTTTTATCCAATCCCAATGGTTCCCCCCACCTTTGCTTTCCCCCACCTCCTTAATCTATCACCAATGGATTTCTTGTAACTCCCTTGCCTCCTCTTTTGATTGTAATGGTAAAAAAAGGTACTAAACTGCCATTCTCCAGAGCATTTCTCAGTCTTTTGAGATTTTGCTTCCTGGCAATTGTTATCAGTTGCTCAACCAAAAATTCTCTACAGGTTTGAATGTTTCTCATGTTGACAGGTCATTGTAGTAGTACACATCTACTCCATGGATTCTGTCAATGCAGAATTAGGAAAAAAATGTGTTTCATGGCCAAATGATTCTTGAGTAGACGATACCTAAGGTGCTTTCTAGCTCGAAATATTTTATGAGGAAAACATAACTCTTATCTATTGTCTACTTTGGTGCTCAGATGGACTTGTAAGCCTATAGCTCTAATATGACAGCAAAGATTCTAGTCGGTTCCACATGGAATTTTGGAGGAGCAGAAATGGTTGTTCTTGCCCCGCCAAAATTCTCCAAAAAGGGCACTTCCCGTTGTGCCCCAGGGCTAAGTGAGAAGAGCAAAGCCCACGCAGAACTTTTTTCAACTAGGTCTGTGCTTGATCACGCTGGCCTGGGGTATGTGCTTCGTCTTATCACCCAATGTAGTGAAACACTTCCATGTGCAAGAGGGGAGCCCGCTCTCTGGGTGGTTTCTGGTTTTCTTGTATAAAAGCAAAGTGTTAGAAACCATTCTGTCTGAAGTGACTGAAAGGAAAAAGTCAGTGGGAAAACCCCCTTCACATTATGATAAAAGCATTCTGTTGAAAGTTTTGCAGAGGGGCCTTCGAGAAGCATGGAGTGAGGTCCTCCTCACATGCAGGAGGTGACATCTTTCGGCATCAGCTGCCTCTTCATGAAGGCTGCACTTCACAGTGGGTGGGGCGGGCCGTCAGAGGGAAGGAAGCAGGGAGGGTAAAGGAAGAGGGGCGATGACAACAAGGAAAGGGGCTGGTGAAGAAGAAAACAGAACAGTTAACAGGAGGAGCTGTTTGTAGAAATGAATATTAACCTTGTAAGCCAATTACTTTGTTATCCCCTTCCACAAGGCAAGTTTAATTTCTTTCTGCCATTTTGCCTCTGCCACCTGGTGGAGCCTGCTGGTTTACAAATCACACTGGAGGACTCAAAAGATTTAGGGGCACTTGATTCCTGGAGAGATAAGATGCTGGCAGCTGAAAGAGGGCAGCAGAAAATATAAGTAGAAAGGCAATAGGAGGAATAGGATCAGAACCGATATTCTCCTTTTTGAAGTCTTCACTATTTGCAATAATTCATTCTTTTCATACATTTGCGCCTATTACGCGCTGGGCAATGTACGAGGGAGGGATTGTGGATACTGGGTACAAGCCAGCCGTGGCTGAGCTCTCTATTCTTACCACACAGTCTTACCTACTCTATCATTATTAGCTCACTGAGGGCAGAAATCAACTTTTACTTATCTGACTCATCTGCATACCCAACAGCACTCTTTGCACCATCACATAATCACGAATATTAAGTCAGTGTTGACATGCTTGGCCTTCATAATTTTGCCGCTAGCCACGTGGGGAGATGGAACAGGTCAGCTTTCCATGACTGCCTTTGGAGTGAAGGTCACACAGTTTGGGATGTCTGGTAATCTGCTCAGAGCTGATTTAAATAAGACATTCATCTACTTCATTTGACTGAATATGGGCATGGCCGATTTAGCCTTAGACCAGCTCTTCTTCCCCTCCCCAGCCCAGCTTCCGGGGAAGAGGGGTTTCATCCTCCAGGAGCTTGTTAATCATATTGGCAAAAGGCTTGTGACTGAGGTGTATGCCCTTCGCTTCAGCTTTTCTCACCGAGTAGAGCTTGTCTTATTTTGCTAAGTGTCCTTAAAGAGGTCAGAAAGATTTGGTTTCTTGCCTTCCCTAGATTAAAGTGATGATCTCAGAGAGAGTTCATTTGCAAACACATAGTCACTATGCTTGAAAGTGGCAAAATTGAAGACCTCTATCTTTGGCTCTTTGCTGTTTTTATTAGCATTTTTCATGGGCACCTGGCAGTCATTTGGCCTTGCCTCTCCTCCTCCCACCTCTATCAATTGCTTGCTTAGTCCTCTGCCAACAAAAAAACCTTCTGACCTTCGCAGACCCCTGTTATCCAAGCATGGCTGGGCTGACCAGTGAGAGGAACTGCCCTAAAGAGGGAACACGGACGAGTGAAGCTCCCACACAGAGGCTCTGGCACCGCCAGCACCTGCCAGCTGAAGCAGGGATGGTCTAGTCTCATTTAGTTCCCTGTTGAGGGGCTGTGCACTCAAATGGAACACTCATCTGTAGTCCCAAAGCAGAAACTTCTTAAAAATTGCATTAAACATGTAAGGGGAGACAGACCTCTATCTCCTTGATGCTCTTTGCAGACAATATAAGGACGATGCCAATGCCAAGGCAGAATGCTCCTGTGGCAAAAAAGCCAGAGAGGACTTTGGTGGCCGAGAGCTGCAGCCGGTAGGCAGGTAATCGCTGCTGCTTCAAGGCAGTGCTGTCTGGCAATCTGGACCGGCAACTCTGGGATGTCCTGTCCATTTTGGTTCTGCAGGTGACCGAGATACACTTTTAAGTCATTTATAACATTACTACTCGTAGTAATTCCACAAAATGGTAATATTAACTTAAGAATGTTGTGAACCCCCCTTTGTAGTGACAGTCTTTTGACTTCCTGAACTATTTCTTAACCAGACTTGACATTTAGCAGGAGAGCAGCTTTCTTCAATCAGCCACTATGTGGTATATTTTACTTATAGGCTCAAAAATCTTGTGCCAGGTGCCATCCTGAGGAGGAATACTCAGCAGCAGGGTCTGGGTAAAGCAACATCTGGTGACACTGGGAAGTAGTTCCAAAGCAGCTTCTAGGGTGTGGTAACTAATTCAAGGCAAGACCTTCCTGAAAGAGGGAAAATGAATTTATCTTTAAAAACCTGCATAAGGCCTTGGAAATTAATACAAAAAATAAGTTAGTGTTGTCAGCTTTTTCCAAATGTGGCTATTCCATAACATGAATATAAATTAAGTTGGAAAATGCCTTCAGATTACAGCTAACTTTTCTATTTGTGATAACAAGAAAGAGAGATGCAAACAGGGATTGTAGACTACAGATATCTAGTCTCAACAGCTTCCCTTTTTTTCCATCCACAAGAAAGGCTATAGAAAAAAAAAAAAAAAAAGGTAGATTAAAATCTCTCTCCTAACATTTTCCCAAGTGTATGCTTTGGAGTAGCCCAAATGAGGCAAAAGAAAGATAATGATTAAATGTTCAACATATAATATGGTATTATTGTTTTTTTCTTACATATTAGAAATCCACTAACACTATTTTCATTAGGTTGTTAATTACTTCCTTTTCTTTAGGATGTATTTAAGATGTAGAATTAGGATTTTTAAAAGATTAGGTGAATTTCTAATCCTCTTTTATTTACATTAAGCGGGGAAGCCACACTGGACAATTTTTGTATTAAGGAAGGTAATGACTTTGAGAAATGTACCTAGTTTAAAAGAATACAAAATAAATGCAAATACTTACACTAGGAGGTTTCCAATTCAGAGTCAAAGCTTCCCACTTACAAATCTGGGGGGGAAAGAGCACACCAGCTGTGGAAATGATTTTTCAGTATGTCATTTCAATCTGGCTTGGAGGTGGTGACGTGTGGTGTGGCTATTGATATCAGGCGGCCTTGCGTAAGACGACGGCAGTGAACACTTCTAGTTTACATCTACTGTTTGTTTTAATAAATAAATATGGTCAAAAGCTTGGGTTTAAAAGCCTGTAACAGCCTATAAGATTAGGTTATATGCACAAGGTTGGCCCACAAAATATCAGGCATGTTTGCAATCTAGGTACTTGATCCAACATTGGTTGGGATTCTACTACATAGTTAAATGCCTAGCAAAAGGGTCACTATAGTAACAAACCAGTAAGAACAGTATCTTTTAGGCTTTTTATAAAATAACAAAGCCATACTAATCAAAATCCCAAACTAAAGGAGGTTGGGGGGGGAGATAGCAGGGGGGAGAGAGAGAGAGCGAGAGAGCGAGGGGGGGGGGAGAGAGAGAGAGAGAATTTTAAGAATTGGCTCACATGGTTAAAGAGGCTGGCAAGTCCAAAATCTGCAGAGCCGATGTCCCGGTTTGAAGGCCATCAGCCAGGAAGAGCTGATGTTTCAGTTGGAAGGCAGAATTCTTTCCTACTTGGTGGGGGGATGGGAGAGGGAGCACTTGACCTTTGTTCTAGTTAAGCCTTCAACTGACAGAATGGGGCTCACCCACATTATGGAGGGCAGTCTGCTTCACTCAAGTCCACCCATTTAAATATTAACCTCATCCAAAAGCATGGTCACAGAAACAGCCAGAATATTTGAGCAACTATCTGGGCACCCTGTGGCCCAGGCCAGTTGACACATAAAATTAACCATCCCAGGTGGTAAGAAAAATAATTCTGGGCAACATTTTTGAGCGATAGCCAGATACACATTTTTATAAATATTTTTGTATTTATATATTTCTTGCTTCTAAATAAACCTATTTCAAGCATACAATTATATTTCACATGCTCTGCTTTTCCGATTTCTAGAACAGGGTTCCTCAGTTTCAGCAACATTGACATTTTGGGCTGGATGTCTTTGTTGCGAGGGGCTGCCTGGTAGCACTGCAGACTGTTGAGTAGTATCCCTGGCCTCTACCCGCCTAATGCCAGTCACGACCCCCCACTAGGTGCCAGGAGCTGTGCCCCCCCGGTTGTGACAACCAAATATGTCTCCAGACTTGGCAAATGGCACCTGGGGGACAAAATCACCTGGGGGACAAAAGAACCACGGCTCCAAACTGATATGGATATGACAATCTGTTAGCAGCTGTTGTGTTATATCATTAGAAATGCCAGAGAGTGGATTTTTAAAAACCTTTTATTTATTTATTTTTAGAGAGAGGGGGGAGGAAGGAGAGGAAGGGGAGAGAAACATCATTGTGTGGTTGCCTCTCACACACTCCCAAATGGGGACCTGGCCCAAAACTGAGGCGTATGCTGACTGGGAATCGAACCAGTGACCCTTGGGTTCACAGGCTGGCACTCAACTCACTGAGCCACACCAGCCAGAGCAGAGTGACTTTTTAAGTCCTTGCTTTCAATTCTCTTTACCCTTTGTGCAGATTGCGTCTTTAGGGATTGCCAGTCATTTTGTATACATGGAGTTGCCTCGTATTTCATTGTCTTTTCCTATTAACTGCTGCGATGCAAATGCACTAAATATGACTGTAGAATCAGGAAGTGGTTATATATGTGTGTGGTACAGTCACGCCCACACATACTTATATGCAAACATAATAATCATGACAGTCTCATTTTTTGGTTTTGGTATATCATAGTGGCTTAGTGGATTGGTCTGAATTTTGAAATGCACAGACTACGTGCCTCAATTTGCAAATCTCTCCTCTTATACAATCATGCTTGATATTTCCTTCCAGATTAATCTAAGACAGGTTAATTGACAGGAAGTTAAATGCCTGTATTGGGAAGGCATGTGGTTCACTATTTTTTTCCTTACCATTGGCCAAGAACACCTCACATGTTAGGATTAAAGGGATGAAAATAATAGGGCTAAGTTTAGCCATAGCTAAATAAATTTTCATATTGTGGTGGCTTCTTTCTTTTTCCTCTAACTCATTAGGCCTGAGTCAGGGTCTTGCAGAATAGAACTTGCTTTTCTTTTCTTGAGATCCTGCATGTGTCTTCCAGACAACAGAAGTGCATCAGCAGCAAGTCACTGGTGTGCAGAAGTGTGTGTTTGCTGGAATCTGATTTGCTAGACTGCCAGGCTCGCTTAAAATTTCACAGTATTCAAATGTGGAATTTTATAGGCCACTAGTGGCATCTGTTTGCCTTCAAAAAAAAAAAAAAATCTCTTATTTGACTTCTATGCCTGAATCCCTAAGCAGGCAAGCATAGTGTCCCAAAGTGAAAATGGGAGATCTGGGGACTTCTGGCTCTACTACTTAAAACTCCTGTGTGTTTTCTGAGAGTCTGTTTCAACATCAAAAAATGTGAATAATAACGTTTTTTCTTCAAGACTGTGTCAATGATTAAACACGACAGACTATGTGTAAGTGAAAGCCCTAAACAATGCTTGGCACAGATGGGTAATCAATAAACATTATTTAAGTGAATAAAAAGGTAAGTAAATTTGAGCAACAAAATAAAAACCAATAGTATTGGGTTATAACCCATAGAACAAACTAGACATTCATGAACCTGTACTGATGTAAATAAATAAGTGAACAAACAAGTAAATGGGAGAAAAGGGATAGCTCTTTCTTTTACAGAAGGATTCTAATGAATAAAGTTGAAGCAATGAGGGAAAGAAAAAATCACTATGTTATAACGATTTCAGACAAGAACTACCAATGTTGCTAAAGTCAGTAGGCAAAGTATGAGGGAAAACAGGGTATTTGCGTAGCCTCAAAGTATTTTTCCCAAGATAGATATTACAAACAGTGACCTCATGGGGGGACATTTGGCAGACACCTCTCCAACCAGGTGGATAGGGTTGACACCACCAGTAATAAGACTGGTCAACACTCTGCCCCCCGGCTGTGATGCGTCAGAAAGAACAGATCAAGTCTGTGGTATTCTGGCCAAAAAATGCAGAAAACAACAGACAAGCTCAGACTGAGGAACATTCTACAAAATACCTGATCGGTACTCTTCAAGTGCCAAGGTCATGAAACAAAGGAAAAGACTGAAGAACAGTCACCGATCTGAGGAAGCTAAGGAGATGTGACAACTATGTGCAATGTGAGATCCTTGATTGGACCTTGGAATATAAAATAGAAAATGGACATCAGAGGAAAAACTGGTGAAATCAAATAAATTCTGTAGTTTTATTAATTGTACGATATTTTACCAACACTGATTTCTTAGTTTTGATAACTGTACCGTGGCTAGACATAATGTTAACATTGGGAGAAGCATATGGAAGGGCATATGGAAATTCTCTATACTATTTTTGTAACTTTTCTGTAAGTTTGAAATTATTTCAAAATAACAAGTTAAATAATAAATGAGTAAGACCGTTGTAGTTTCAGTGTTGTCTTTTATGTTTACAAAGCGCCACACACACTCACAGCTCTTTCTACTACACTACTACTGCCTCCTTCATGCTGGGACCAGGCTTCACAGCTGACAGATCTGTTCCACAAATACCATCATGGGGGATCCTCAACAATCCTGCGAGATACTATTCCCATTTTGCAGCTGCTGAAACTGAGGCTCAGAGAGGAAAACATTTTGCTCTTTCCCTTCTCTTGTGCAGTCACATCAGAGGCCAGTTGGTGAGAGGAAAATATGCTGGTGATACTTTATTGTACAGGAAATTGGCAAAAGACACACTCATTTTGGTCAAAGGATCCCCATCAAATGTTCCCAGCGAGCCACCTGGTGAGGCAGCTAACACAGGAACGCAGCCGCTGATGTGTACTGAGTGGACACAGTGCGCCAGAACCATTAAACGAGATGCAAATCCCACAGTGAAAACTGGAATTCTCATTAGGACGCAGATTTAGAAAAGGCCCAGCTTCAAAGATTCTGACTTGCACAGACTGATGACTCCCGTTTCCAGAAGTTCAAAAACCCCCTTTTTTATCTAAATGAGAGAGAAGAAAAAAAAGGTTAAGATCAAGAAAAGATGGTCTTGGTGGATAAATTCAACCATCTGGACTCCCTGGTATTTATGCAGCTGTTATGGCCAGTGTCCGGGATGGCAAAAAATCCTAACCCATGTTTTACTCAGAGCTGGATTATTTACACAGATAAAGGAGGAGGTATTATAGAAATCATCAGTCTCATTAAAGTGCCCTTTTGTTTGCGGCCACTCAAACCAAAATCTCATACAAGAAAATCTCATGCAGTGATAGCCACAGTGTGCCCAGATTATGCACAATATCTCAATACAGGATAACTGATAATAACAACATCAACATAATAAAAAAAGCTATGGATAACAAGGGTTCTTTTTTTTTGTTTTGTTACTATTTCTCCTTTTTATTGAAATTAGAAAACTAGTGGTGGAATACTCAGATTTAACATTAAAACTGAAATAATCAAATATGGCCTCATGTGCTGGACATCAAGCTGATTAAACAAGTTTTAAAAAACCAGTTGGTGCAGGGGACAGTGTGTGTGCGTGCGCATGTGTGGGTAGGAAACTGAGAAAATTGTCTGTTGAACTGATATCTGGTATAATTCACTGATCAATTAGAATCAGGTGTGCTCATTTGGGGATTGTGGTTTTATGCGGTGAAGGACTTCATTTGGCTCAGCTGGACGAGTGACTCTAAGGCTCTTCTTCGGTTGTTGCTGTGATTCGTTCCCAGCTGGTGACCGGCTGCCACGTCGACGGCTGCACGGATCCTTTTCTCTCCAACGGCTACTTGTAAACAACCCGTTAGACTGAAAAATTAGCCCTATGATAACATGGTTGGTGGCAAATCAATTTTTTCACATTATCATGATAATGAATTAGTTTCATAAATATGAGTTAACGCTGTGCCCACAAAGGCATTCAGTTTTAATCTGCTGAAAATGTTTCCCTTATCCTCCAAAACCAAACAGCCCTCTAAATTCAGTAAGTGGGTTTTAAGGGAATGTAGAGATGTGGGCAATGAGGCAAATATGTGTCCCCATCTCCAAATACACTTAAAAGGGTGAAAAGCAAAGGTGATCGTGACGCTGAAGCAAGACACAGGGAAAAGTGCCCGTTCTCCAGATCTTCCTGTCCCTGAAAGGCACAGTACAGATATGATCCCTAGGCGGCAGAAGCCATCGGTCATTTAATGAAGAAATAAAGCTGATTCCTACAAAACACATGGAAGGGAGAGAATTATGTGTAAGGGGTGAGATGGCCTCTCTAATTGTTACTTTAGAGTAACTGTCAAAGGCCAGAATATGCTGGCTCCTCATGTCAAAGACTTTATTACTGTGTTTGAACTCAAATTTCAAAGTTCAAATTGAAAAAAGAGATTAAAGGCAATTGCTTGTTACAAGGTACCTCGGGAATGTCCATCATCCTCCTCAACTTCTGATCTCTCCAATTCCAGTCAAACACCAGAAACTTTAAGGGGTTCAAATTAAGGCCACCTGAAAGAGACAGGGAGAGAATTACTGCAGTAAAGACCTCATGACACAAGCTAATTAAAAAGACTTTTTGGCTCCCTTTTCATTTTGCTGATGTTTTCTTTAGCCATGCAGAAGCTTCTTATTTTGATGAAGTCCCACTTGTTTATTCTTTCCTTTATGTCCCTTATTCTAGGGGACATATCGGTGAAAATACTGCTGCGTGGAATATCTGAGTTTCCTGCCTATGTTCTCCTCTTAGGACTTTTATGGTGTCGTGACTTATATTTAAGTCTTTTATCCATCTTGAGTTTATTTTTGTGTATGGTATAAGTTAGTGGTTGAATTTCAATTTTTTGAATGTAGCTGTCCAGCTCTCCCAATACCATTCATTGAAGAGGCTATTTTTACTCCATTTTAAGCTTCTGCCCCCTTTGTCAAATATTAATTGACCATAGGGACATGGATTTATGGGAAAATATATTTGCCAATGATACCTTGGACAAGGGTTTGAACTGCAAAATATATAAAGAACTCATAAGACTCCAGGAAGACAAACAATCCAATTGAAAAATGGGCAAAGGACCTGAACAGACGCTTCTCCAAGGAGGACACACACAGGGCCCAGAGACATATGAAAGGATGCTCAGCATCACTAGCCATCAGAGGGGTGCAAATTAAAACCACAGTGAGATGCCACTTCACATCAGTGAGAAGGGCCACCTTAAACAAATCAACAAACAAGTGCTGGTGAGGTTGTGGAGAAAAGGGAACCCTAGTACTCTGTTTTTGGGAATGAAGACTGGTGTAGCCACTGCGGAAAACAGTTCAGAATTTCCTCAAAAAGCTAAAAAGGGAACTGCCTACTGACCCAGTGATTCGGCTGCTGGGATTATACCCTAAGAATCCCAAAACACCAAGTCAAAAGAACCTATGCACCCCAATGTTCATAGCAGCACAATTTACAATAGCCAAGTGCTGGAAGCAACCTAAGTGCTCATCAATAAGTGAGTGGATCAAAAAACTATGGTACATTTACACAATGGAATACTATGCAGCAGAAAGAAAGAAAGAGCTATTACCCTTTGTGACAGTGTGGATGGAACTGGAGAGCACTTTTCTAAGCAAAATAAGTCATGGTGTGAAAGTCAAATACCATATGATCTCACCTGTAAGTGGAACCTAATCAACAAAACAAACAAGCATGCAAAATTTAACCAGCAACATTGAAAGAAAAAACAAACCAACAGTAACGAGAGGGAAGGAGGGGGGGGGTAATGGTGAAAAGAAGGGGAAGGGTCAAATCAAGGAACATGTAAAAAGGACCCACGGACAAAGCCAAAGTGGGGAAGGATGAGGATGGGAGGTGGGGGTGGGTGGGGCAGGGGAAAGTGGTAGCGGGGAAATGGAGACAACTGTATTTGAACAATAAAAAAATGAAATAAAATTAAAAAATGACTTTTTGTTCTCCTGGTTTCTGTTTGCTTCATTTGCTGTCCTCTCCCCCCAGTAAATAACCTTTACTCATACCTTGCCCTTGCCTGATGGAAAAGAAATGTGGCTCTGAGACTTACTCTCCTTATCACTGAAGATGAGAGAAGCAAAGAATCTGCTCTTGCTAAGCTTGTCAAATGCTCAAGTTCTGGCAAAGAATCAACCCCAAGCCTCCAGGAAGCCCCAGAGGGTTAGGTTTCATTCCTGACAGGTATCTGATAATGTTCTGCAGTTTGGGATAGAGGCCTTTCAGAGGAGTTGAGTCTACTGGAGTCCGCGTGACTGAGGAGCTGAGTGGACAAAAAGATGAGGACAGGGCTGGGAGGTGATTTTTAGGCAGAAAAGGATGTTAAGGTTAATGGGCCCTATGCAAAGGCTGCTATTCTCTGAGGAGACTGCTAACCCTCTTAAGGACTCCATTCCCACTGTCTTCCTCTCTATCTAGAGAAAATAATGGAATGTGGGCTCCAGGGGACCACAGTGATTGTCTGAGTCCCAGAGGCCTCCGAGTTGGGCACAGTTAACTCCCCGTGCCCTTCCCGCTGCCCCAAGCTGTTCACGTTTCACGTGGAAACATAACCGAAGCCCTCCCATACACTGCTGCGGCACTTCCCTTCAACTTTTTCTCTGTGATTATTTCAATATTGTTCTCTCTGTCCACAAGAATTTTTCATGCTTCTTATAATTACAAAGCCCTCCTATAAAACTCTCTGGAAAATTGAAAATGATAAAGAATGACAATGGGTTGACAGTTTTCCCTTAAAAATAACTCACTGCTGGTGGCAGAGGAAACAGATACAACCTTTCAAAAAGGCAACTGGGCCTTACAGAATAGAAGCTTTAAAATGCTCCCTGTTTGATAGAATAATTTTCCTTCTATGATACATCCCAATAAAAACATCAGAAATTTAATCACAGTTACTTGCAAAGATGATTGCTGCACTATTATTTATCATAGCAAAAAATCAGAAACAATCCAAATAGTCTACCATAATAGAATACTTAAAAACCAATCTAACTTGGTTTTAACATACAAAATATAAAAAGAACTTGTATAACTCAATAGCAAAAAAAAAAAAAAAAAAAATCTGATTTAAAAATAGGCAGAGGAACTGAATAGATATTTTTCCAAGATGACATCCAAATGGCCAAGTATAAGAAAAGATGCTCAACATCACTAATAATCAGGGAAATATGAATCAGTACCACAATGAGACATCACCTCCCACCCGTTATCAAAAAGACAAAAGATAACTGTTGGCAAGGATGTGGAGAACAGGATACCCTTGTACACAGTTAGTGGGAATGTAAATTGGCACAGCCACTATAGAAAACAGTATGGAAGTTCCTCAAAACATTGAAAAGATTACTACCATATGATCTGGCAATATCATTTCTGGGTATATAGCCAAAGGAAATGTAATCACTATCTTAAAAAGATATCTGCACCCTTACTTTCACTGCAGCATTATTACAATTGCCAAGACATAAAAACCATCGAACTATCCAATGAATGAATGATATTAAAAAAAAGTGACACATATAGACAATTGAATATTATTCAACCATAAAAAAGAAGGAAATCCCCTCATTTGCAACAACATGGATGAACCTTACGGGCATTATACTAAATGAAATAAATCAGACAGAAAAAGACAAATATTGTATGATCTCATTTATATGTGGAGTCCAGAAAAACCAAACTTATAGATACAGAGACAGATTGGCGGTTGCTGGAGGTGAGGCTGGGAGAAATAGGTGAAGGTGGTCAAAAACCAAAAATTTCCAGTGATAAGATACATAAGCCTTGGGATGTAATGTATAGCATGGTGGTTATAGTGAACTGCCTATTTGGAAGTTATTAAGAGTAGATCTTAACAATTCTCATCACAAGAAAAGAAATGTAACAATGTGAGGTGACTGATGTTAACTAAACTTGTTGTGGTAATCATTTTGCAACATACACATATATTGAATCACTATGTTGTACATCTCAGACTAATACAATGTTATATGTCAATTATAGCTCAAACTGGAAAAAAACTATTACTTTACAATAGAATATTATATAGGCATTAAAAATAAAAAAATTAAAATTATTTCATGACAAGGAAAGTCCTCATGAGATATGTGGCAAAGGTAGGTCATAAAGTTATGATATACAGTATGAGCTCTACTTATAAAAATATATAAAATGCCTAGTAAAAAGACTAAGTGGAACTATGTTCAATATTAACTAACAAGAGATTATCTCTAAAGTGAATTATTTTCTTATCTGTATCTTTTTGCATTTTCAAAGGCTCTTATAGTAAAAAAATCCCTTCATTATTAAATTAAAACAATGCCATTCTGTCTGTAATTGTACGGATCTCAATGTCATGAGATATTTGACATCTGGAAACTCTCCTTCATATACAATACATATAAACATCTTAAGTCATAACAGCTACATACAGTGTGTTATATGCTGTTTGTCTTGCTTTGTTAGATTTTCAGTTTGTAGAGTGCTAGAATTGTTCTCTTTAAACACTTTGTATGTAGCCTATCACCTGTGGTTAATAAATATTAAACCATTCATTCAACCAGAATCAGAAGTAAAAGTTATTTTTTTTTAGTATTCTAAATGGTTTTCCCACTTCTCAAATGAAATAATCTTTCATACTGAATTCTCAGAAGTCTGTATAAATCTAATTTCAATAATCTGTGCAGCCTTTATTTTCTCCCTCTTTTTTAAATACAAAGAGGGGCCCCGCCGCATGGGGGCCTGGTGACACACAGAAAACCATGTGTACTCCAGGGAAGGAAGAGGAACCTTTGGCTACAGGGGCTGTGGGAGACGGGGTGTCCATTCCTGGCCTTTCCTGCTGCCCAGCCAAGCTCTGCCAACTCTGTGTCTCACAGATGGACTGTGAGCACCTCTCATCTGTTCCTTCACTTTCATCGACTTTTATGTTCACAAGACAAAAAATCCAAACTCCTGCCCTGATGGGTGTGGCTCAGTGGACTGAGTGCTGGCCTGCAGACCAAAAGCTCACCAGTTCAATTCCCAGTTAGGGCATATGCCTGGCTTGCGGGCCAGGTCCCCAGTCAGGGACATGTGAGAGGCAACCGATGCTTCTTTTGCACATTGATGTTTCTCTCCCTCTCTTTTTCCCTCCTTTCCCGTCTCTCTAAAAATAATAATAAATAAATAAATAAATAAAGATATGAACTGAATTCTCATACCTATTAAAAAAAAATCCAAACTCCTTAGCTTACTGTTGCAGGTCCTTCCTCCACAATCTGACTTTCTTTCCAGTTGAATCACTGGCTACTATAGCCCACGAAGTCTCCAAGTAAGAAAGGTGGTCTCTTTAAAATAAATAACAACTAATATTTGTTGCATTCTTAAGGTATAACACTCACTGTGCTAAGCTCTTAATTGGCATTCAATTTTCATAATAATTCTTTGAAAAAGGTACCATTTTTATTTCTGTCACTTGGACAGAGAAACAGGTTTAGCAAGGTAAAGTTACTTGCCAAGGTCACAGAGCTGATATGGTTAAGTTGTTGGACCTAGGACCTAGATCTGGACGTCTGCGTCCCTAATAGGAGCTCTTAAACCCAACACAATATGGCTTACTTATCACCTCCTCCAGATACACACATGGATCTCTCCCTGCCCTCCTGGATTCAGCTATTCTCCCTTCCTTGAATGCTCTTCTCACATCTGCATACTTCAAAAGTCCTATTTTAATCCTCCTCATACTTTAAATATCAGTTAGAAACTCTTTCCTCTGTAAATTCAGGTACCACATCAGTCTCTCCCTCATTTCAACTCCTTTAGACTTGAAAGGGCTCATTAGGCCCTTGGCCCTTACTGTCTTGTCAGTCTAATTCTACGTGCACTTCTCTCTTTAACGGGATCAAAAGCTCCCTGGCTGGGAAAGGCTTGGGATCCAGGAAGGCTTACACTGAGGGAGGGCCACTTAACTCTTGTGAACTTTAGTTTTCTCTCACAAGAAATAAGAATGCCAGCCTGCAAGGATGATGTGGGTGCTAAATGGGATCAATGAAAGCATGTCAAGTGGACCACTAAGTACAAAGAGGAACCAAAAAATATTTGTTTCCCTTCCTCATCTGGGGCCTCCAGTTTGTTACTTGTAATTGCACAGAGTTCTGCATACAGTGAGTTCATTTAACTCTGAATACCTTTTATCTGGAGAGAAGCACTACTATACTGGAACACATAACTGTTAGGTATTTAAAAAAAACACAAACCGGAATAGCCCCTGTCGGTTATAAAACAATGTTCTATTACTATATTAAATAAATAATTTGGAAATGAGTATTGACAAGAAATCTGTAATCTCTCTGGCAGGTATAACAGGTTATTAGATCATTAGCAGGTTAGCAAGCGGACGTTGTCTGGAATACTTTCTGGGCAAAACGCTAAAAAAATGCATTTGAGAGAAATATTCTAGAATACCAGTATTTCATCCACAGAAACTGAATTTTTGTTTCAACATATTTTTTTATACCAGCTCTCAAGTGGAATGGGAGTCTTGGGGAACAAAGACTCAATTAAGTGAGAGGGAAATGCTCAACACATCCAGTTCTACAAATTCCAGAGGGTACAAACTGATGGGATTAATTGTAGATCCACTAATGTGCCTACAGCAATTGAAATAAGGTATTTGGGTGGGCACATGCACTGCAGTTTGCCCCAGTCCTTATCATTCCCTGCTCCGTTACACCTGCTGGCCGACTTGAGAGACTAATGGCTGAGTTTCCAACTCCTGAGTTAACACAGAGATCTGGTTTCACTCCGTCACACATGTGGTATCCGAAAACTCACATGGGGGTAAGGCAAACTCCCAGCTCGGAAGAGTATCACTGGCTCTTTTCATACCTTGTTTAACGAGTTCTTTAATCCTCCCTGGAGTTCCTACACCCAGGTGCATGGCACGCTTCTCCAGCAACTTTACCTGCTCCTGGACCTATTCCAAGATGGAAGAGAATAAAGAGAAGTGTGATATTGAGGCAGACTACCATTTATTCTCATATAAATGTGGCCTTCGTCCACAGTTCCTAACTCCCAACTTCCCAAGCCCTTGCAATTTCCTAAGTGTTGAGAGTGATAAAGCTGTCTTTCGTTAATTTGAATGAGGTGACTTTTGGAAGCACCTGTGGATGAGGACTGGTTCCAGGAGAACCAAACATATAATTTGACAATTGGAACTTTCAGTCCCACCTCCAACCTCCAGAGAGAGGAGAGGGGCTGAAAGCGGTATCAATTGCCAATAGCCAATGATTTAATCAATTATGTCTATGTCTTGAAACCTCCAAAAAATACTGGAGAGGAAGGGGTCTGAAGAACGTCTGGGTCGGTGAACACGTGGAGACTGGGGAGAGCGTTGTGCCAGGAGAGGGCACGGAAGCTCGTACCCTTCCCCGTACCCTGCCCTATGCATCCCTTCCCTCGGAATGTTCCTGAATTCCATGCTTTTATAACAAACCCGTGATCTAGAAAGGAAAATGTTGTCTGAGTTTTGTGAGCTGCTCTAGCAAATTACTTGAATTTGGAGGAGGGGGTGGTGGGAACCTCTGTTTTATAACCTGTTGGTCAGAAGTACAGGTAACAGCCTGAGCTTGTGACTGGTGTGTGATGTTGGGGGTTGGGATGCATATGCAGTCTTGAAGTGCTGAACCCTTAACCAGTGAAATCTGATGGACCTCTAGGTAGATAACATCAGAATTGAATTGCATTGTAGGACAGCAATTTCTTGGATATGTGAGGAAGTACCCTTCCCGCATGTTTCAGAGAGTCATTAGAAAGTGCAATCACTCATAGGCCAATTTATAGCATTTTATCTTAAAGCTAAGAAAGTTAAAAAGCAAATGGGTCTACCCTTGTCTAGGGTCTACCCTTGTCTAGGGTCAACTTCTAGGGCAAAGAAGGTTAACATCAAGATAGAAGAAAACCGGTAAATCTTCAAAGAATCCGGGGGTCAAACCTCAGGTTCTATAGAGGAATCTCGGAGCGCGGAGGAGCAGAGCAGCGACTGCTGCGGGGAGAGGGGGGATGCAGAGGCAGAAGGCAAAGAAAACCAGAATCGTTTTAAGTTTGTTATTTAAGGAGGCACCAAAAAAAATGCTTGACAAGGAGATAAGCGGAGACTGGAGGGAAAAGCTGAGCTCTAGGAGTGGCCCTGAAGGATCACTAATATCTCCTGTCAGGAGATATTACCACAGGCCCTTTGCTTACCTTTATGTGCTTTGCAAATAATTTTATGACTTTGCTGTCTCCTCTGAATGATGTCATCGATCTAATGAAAAGGAATACATTAATCCATATAAAAGTCACTCATTCTGGCTTTGTTGGCAACTTAAGTATTAAGTCTTACTTTATTCAAAAGGATATGTGCATCTATGTATGTATATATGTGCATGTGTATGTGTATTCTATGTGTACACACACATAAAAGTCCTGAGGTTTTCAGGTTAGCCATCTCTGAAATGAAAGTGGGGTAGCCTTTTAATCAGGCTTATAACTCTCACATGTAAGGTCAGCTTCAATTAGGTTCTCTTGATTATTGAAACATGGATCTGCGCTCTACTTGCAAAACAGAATTTCTGTGTTTCAGGTCGCTGGCAGCAAACTTATCTTCAAGCTCTGCAGTATACTTCTCATACAGTATTTGGTTGTGAGAGTGACTGGGTTGGCCAAAAAGTCTGTTCAGTTTTTTGTAAAATAAAAGACACATTTTTCATTTTCACCAATAGCTTTACTGATTTGGATATTTTGATCATGTCGGCTGTCTCCTGCTATTGGCTTCTAGTGGGTAGAGGCCAGGGGTGCTGCTAAACATCTTCCCGTGCATAAGACAGCCCCGCAGCAAAGAAGTACTTGGCCAGAATGTCAATAGTACCAAAATACTTCGCAAACCACTTTTGACACATTTGATCAGTCACAGCACCTTCTCCATACACTGCAGAAATCTTTTTTTTTTTTTGCATTTTAGTTGTGTTTTTACCTTTCTTGAAATAATAAAGCATACATGCCGAAACTGTTGTGTATCTTCTTCCATTTCAATGTTAAATTGGCTGCACAAAAACTCATCAATTTTGATGTTTTTTAAAAAAATGCTTGCTGAAGGTACTCTAAGAAAATTGTTTTGAATGAAGTTAAAGACAACTAAACACTACTAGAGCCATTGTACGGGAAAAACTAAATGAACTTTTTGGCCAGCCCAGTATCTTACAGCAGTGGTGCCAGCCCGTGCTCTGTGGAGCCCAAGGGCATCGACAAAAAGTTGTCTGTGGTTTGGGGGAGGCGGGGGGTGACCTGACCGGGAGTAGCAAGAGGGCTCATGTCCTTCATTAGAGCAGCCCCACTTTTATTTACTTTGCAGAGTGAACTTTTTCCATAAAATTTTATATGCAGAAATGCTTTGGATATAAATGGGTATAAAATAACAAAATCTTTTAGTTGATGTTTGGGGCAAGAACGAACATGGAAAAACTGCTGGAGAATATTACTTTCATTTATATATCATTATTATGTTTTGGGAAATATTATTGACCAATAGGAATCTACTATTTTGTAAATAGTAAATCACATTATATGAGTTCATTGCACTTGATCTTTTACTTACACATACGCTTTCTCCATGGCAAGGTTAAGTAGGAAGACAATTTAGGGGACATATTTAACATAACTCATGGTTTTCAAGGGAGCAGATATTCTTACAAAGGTTAGAATTATTCCCCATTAATCTCTGTGAATAGGGCTCATTGTGCCTGCTCAAAAATTACCTTTTGCAAATCACCTAACATAGAAATGGATCCTAGTATTTGCTTGGGGACACGGAAAAACACTGAGAATTGGTAAGTCAAGTGCGACAACATAGTGCTTTTATGCCCCTCAGAAAGGCATTTATGCACAGAAAACACTCAAATCAATTTGACAACATGTTTTTAAGAGGCCACCTTGAGGCCAACCTCTTTGCCATTAGCGTTTGAATATGAAGTAAGTTATGTGGTTGTAGATTTTAAAACACTGAAAAGTCAATGTAAACCCTATGGTTTCAAATACAGCTTCCCAGGAGCAGATGAAGTCTTGAACATCAATTATGTTTAGAACAGAAGTAGTTGAAAGATCACTTTTGTGTGTGCCTAATGGGGAAAGGAGAGTTTGAAGGACTATTAACAAAGCTTAATAACAACTACTTTTCTAAATTTATGATCAGATTAGTTCATTTAGAAAAATAGATTCTAAATAGCTACCAAGTGTCTACATTTGCACCTACTTGATAAAGTTCCTCTTTCTTTAGTATAGCTTAACTCGTATAACTTAAATTCTTCCTTTACTTTGTCTTGTGTCAAAACCTGGCACAGACCCTGCCTCTGGGAGAGGGCACGTCTCAGTGAATCCCCTTTCACTCTGATGGCTCTTCCCTGAAGGCTGACTGTTACCCTAGACCCAGTAGGAGCCTTTCCGCGTAGTCTACAGTAACTACAGTAAATGAAAAAAGTATGTGAAAGCACTTAGGAAAGCACTGACAAATTATCTTTAAAACATAATTTTTACATTTAAATTTTGGTCCACTTGGAATTTATCTTGGTATAAGTAGTGAGATATGAATCCAACTCTATTTTTCCACATGGCTACCTACTTGTTCCAACACCATTTATTAAATAATCCATCTTTCCCTACTGATTTGTCACCTTTGCCATATGCCACATTTTCACAGATATGGGCCTATTTCTTAACTTTCATTCTGTTCCACTGATCTGTCTGTCATGCATGTGCTAGTCCCATACTGTTTTAATTTTGAGACTTTGTAATATGTTTGCTTAAAAATCTGGTATTATAGGCATAGTATCTTTTGCTGAATTTTCCTGAGGATCTATTTCTTCTCATGTGAACTCAGAACCAGTTTAGTATAAAAACAATTCTTTTGGAGTTTCTTTGGGAATCTGTGAAACTTATAGATTATCCTAGATAAAACAGCATCTTTACAACATTGAGTCTGATTATTGAAGAGTCTAGTATGCCTGTTTGTTTATGCAAGGTCTTCTGCATTGTCCGTATAGTATTTTCTTTATACAGGCTTTGGTAAGTTTACTACTTGGTGTTTTTTCTTTTCTTATTTTAAATTAGATCTTTCTTCTATTTTTTCTTCTAACTGGTTATTGCTCCTATGTTCTCCCTGTTTTCACCCCTGCCCTCTACAAAGTGTGTTCCCCACAAAGCAGCCAAAGTGATTCTTTAGAATGATTATTCAGATCATTCTAACTGTACCTTCTGCCTAGAGTGCTCCTAGATATCTGCTTGGCTTTTTTCTTTACTTTGTTCAAGTCTCTGCTCAAATGTCCTCTCCTTGGAGAAGCTTTCTGGGACCACCCTTTTAGGAGAAGCCCCCATCCACTTCTATCCCTTTGTCATGCTGTATTTATTCTTGTATAACTTATCACCACCTGACGTTACAATGCATATTGATTTGTTTATGGTCTGTGTTCCTGATTGAAAGTTCTAAGAGAGGGCGGACTCTGTTTGGTTCATGCTACGTAGTCCCTCTCCAGCATACAGAATGTATCAACCTGGCACATGTCAGTTATTCAGAAAACATTTATGAAATAATAGGTGAAACTTCCAACCTAATGAGCTCCAGGGAGCGGACGGCAGAGCTGCAGATGATCAGCATTAGGACTGATTTCTTCTCAGTATGGTTTTTCCGAAGTTTTGCCCACTTAGGGCAGACTGAAAAAAAGACCATAAGAAAAATATTATTCTAAATATGGAAAAATAGGGCCCCCAAAGTTGAGTGTTCTCCAATTACTTTTTTGTTAGTGTTTAAGTAAAATAAAATACAATGGACACTGTTTAGATTCCATTCTTTGGTTAGTCTAGGCATTAGATTAAAATGAAATATCATTAACTTACAACACAGAATATATATTATGCCAAGTAGCTAAATGTGACTAGTTTCAGGACTAAGTAAGAAAAGTTTGGAATGATGCATTTGCAATATTTTAATGTGTTTGACGCTTGAAGGCAAGGTTGACTAGGAAAAGAAATCTGATTCAATAATGTTAACATTTAAAGGGGCACTGGGCGTAAAATACAAAATGAAAATGACATTAAAATCATAGCAAACATTTGTTAAAGAGTGACATTGTGCTAGGCACTTTACACACATTCTCTTGTTTGATTCTAACATAGTGAGGTTGACTTGATTATCTTCATTTACATTTGCTGAATTTGAGGCTGAGAAAGGTTTATGAACTCAAGTTGAGTGTCATCAGAATTGCTTAGAGTTTGAAAGAAGACTGCTAAGTCTCTACTTCTAAACGATTTCATTGTTGGTTACAAATAAATGACTAGCTTGTGTGAATAATCTAGTTATTACTGACTATGACACAATATATACCGAAAAGATCAAAGTAGATTGACTATGTAATGCCCAAAGTCTGTCAGATGTGAACAGAATTTCAGAATCTCCTAGCTGGGACAGAGGTCCGACAGTCTACTTCCTTATCTTTCAGTTAAGAAAATCTAGTCCCAGAGAGTACTTAGTGACTTGTTCCAGGTCAAACAGGAAATTAGTGAGACTAGACCACTAGTTAGTATCTTGATTCCTTGACCGATACTTTGAGTGTATTATAAAACAAAATGAGACCAAATTCCAAATTACTAAAGCCAGAGCAAAACAAGAATAAACTTAAATAAATAACAATTAATATCAAGAGGGACCTAAAAAACCCTCCATTTAAAATCCACTTAAGGTGGAAACATTTTTTTTAAAAGGTGGAATCTTTTTATTTTAAATGTAGTCTTGAAAGTTTTTATTTTAAAGAGATTGAACTTCTGTTTTAATGTAATAACAACTTGGTGAATGACTTTTTTTAAATGAGAGTTTACTTACTTTCTTTTAAGTATGATGAAAGACTATGAGTCAAATCATTGGCCTTGAGGAAACAGGAGTCTAAAAACAGGAGAAACATGCTTTGTAGAGAATTTTGCAAACACACACATAATAAAAATAGATTAAATGTGAATAGTGTTTACTTGAACAAGGTTGTAAAACATTAGTGATTTGGAGGCTCACTATATAAAGTGTTGTCTAGTAATTAAAACAATAGCAACAGCAACAACAAGTAAACTTCAACTATCTCTAGTTTCTTAGAGTCGTGAAATAAAAGCTATCATATTTTTCAATGGATTAATGAAGCATCTTTTTTTGACATCCACAGAACAGACAGTATACAAAGGAAAAGCTGAGTCAGCTAACAAATCGATGTAGAGGTGTTCCAACTCACTAGTCAACATAAGCATGCAAATTAATACATGATGAGATAACTTTTACGCACACAGTAGAAGGGCCACTGTTAGATGTAAAATACCAAGCATTGTCTAGAATGTAGGGTGATGGAAACTCTTATGAACTGTAGGGGAAGGTGTAAACTGGTAGAGCTATTCTGGAAAATAGTAAAAATAGGATCTATACCACCTTATGACCGTATGATTACATTTCTGAGTAAATAATGGAAAGAAATTCTTGTGTGGCCTGTGAAAGGACATACACAAGTATAGTAACTCCAGCATTATTTGTGATCGTGGGGAACAGGAAGCAACCTGGGTGTCCACATCTGAGACCATCAGTGAGTAATAGGTGAGAGATGAAATCAGCGGAATACTATGTAGTATTTAGAAGCACTTAACTAGATGTACATAAAGCCGTATAGGCATATATCAAAAAAGTGTTAAGTTGGGAAGACACAGAATGAATGGTCCACCACAACATCATTTAGATAAACTGTAAAATGTACACACATACAGCAACATGACATATTTTACAAAGACATATACATTTAAAAACAACACAGAGTGAATGCCTATAGAGAAAGGAAATTGGAGCATGTTAGGGAAGAGTGGAACTAATACATCAAAACACAACACAGCACCACAGTAAAAGGCAATGTAACACTAAAACATGGGACTTGCTCAACCAATGACAATCATGGTCTAGCTATTATGTAGTGTTATTAACTCTGTAACTGAGATGGGTAAAAAAGCAGCATCATGTTATTGTCCTAATTCTTTCCACAAGGAAAAGTTTTTCTATAACCACAGCAGAGTGCTAGGGAGTAAATTATTACTAAATAAAATGACATTTACATTATAACCTAGCATTTATAACATATTATGTGAGTAACACACTTCAAAGACGTTGCCTCCTGTACTGCTGAAGAGCCTTGGATGGTCTTTAAAACTATAGTTTCCCAAGTCTGGATATGATGAGATTCACCTGGAGAGCTTTACAAAAGATACAAATCCCTGGGATGGACCCCTTTTTTCATAGTGATTTGGAATTCCTTGGGGGCGAGCCTGGGAGTTTGCCTTTTAAGTTGCCGGCTGGATTCGCTGCAGCTAGCCCTGGGGCATGTAGCACTGATCTAAACCGCAGTGCAGCTCTCAGGAGGACAGCGAGATTCGCTCCAAGTGACTCCTGCCTTGAAACTCTAATTAAGTACCCATGTGCATGACATTAACAATGTACAGTGCACGATATTAATTGAAAAGACATGTTCCTGCCCTACAGACACAAAAAACCTCAAATCAAAACCAAGTTACACACACGGCAAACTAAACAGAAAAAATACTTTATTATTTTTTGCGCCCTTATATTCATTCCCCTTCCTGAGCCTGCACCAAGTAACGTATGGTGTGTCCCCCGGTGTGTCCCCGCCGTCACCTAGCATAGACTTCTTCTGTGTCCGTGGTCCCATCAGTGTAGTGACGGGACTTTTCTCCAAGACCTTCCTATGATGCTTTTGATCACTGTGAATCAGAATGGCCTAATGTCTTAACTGAAAATGAGAACCTGTCCTTTTTAACTGTAATGGTATTTGAGACATATTTACCATTTTTTCCCTTTCTTTCTAAACCAACACATGACCACACATTCTTGCCTATTGTATTACTAAACTCTAATTCAGCAATAATATAATGTAAACTCACAATGGAACTCAAGTGACTCCTTAAAGGTATCTCCTGACCTTCACCTCTCTACAGTTCTAGGAAATTAAGGTTGATGATGTTCCATGAGGTTACAGAGCTGCAGTGGTCCCATTATCTCACGAGTCCTTCCGAAGTAGGAGGTTTACATACCCTAACAAAACACTAGAAAGAAAAATTGACCACTGAGCCATAGTAAAACCACACTTTTCAGTTAAACCTTGCACAGAGGCTTTGTTGTAACACTTGCTCCCTGAGAAAGAACAGTCAGGGCCTCGCTCTCCTCCAGAGGAACTGCTGTGCTGGGAAGAGTGGTTTCTAACTGCCGTTGGACTGCCTGGGCTCAGCAAGTCAAAACCTCTGGATCTCGCTCATGTGGAAATGCACTCCTTCAATTCCCTAAAGGCGTCCCTTTTGGAAAGGAAACAGACAGGGCACTCGTGTCTCTAATCCAATGTGCATTTTTAAAAAAAGTGTATCACGAAGGAATTATAAAAATTCAGGGAATGGGCTGTTTTTCAGCTTCTCAAGCCTCTAGAAAGCATAAAGTTGAAATGGAAAAAGGAAATCAAACTACCCTTCACGTTTTCTAAAATCAGTATTAGATATCCCTCATAGTCTATAAATAGCTCATCTCAGGCATGGTACCCAAACTGTGGTTTGAATTTATAACAACAGCTCCTCAATCTCTGCCCAAGAGTTACAGGATGTTTCATAAATTTGAAATTAATTAAAATAAGTTGTTTTAAGAATTTTGCCATATCTTTTAACTTAATTATAAATACTCTAACACAGTTGATTCCAAACAATACTAGTCTGAAGAATCACCGAGTATGAGGTCTTGCTAAAAATGCAGAATTCTGTCCCTATCTTTAGGTAGCTTGCTTGGAAAGCTCTAGACTGGGACCCAAAAACTATCCTAAAAACAAAAGCATAGTTAGAAATCCATGATAAGAGCAACAACTAAGCTTCTAATTAAAGCTAACATTCTTGTCTATAAAGAATGAATAATTTCATGTTTTATATCTGTACTTTTAAATGAGTGATTTAACTTTATTTTTATTTAACATCTATTTTCCTTAGGGACTCTTACTCCTTGAAGAATCTGCTAAAACAATGCATGCCCAACAATTAGCCCTTTGAATAAAAATATAATTAAAATCCCTCTATTAGATCAAACAAACATTATTTAGCACCTTAGTAAAGAATTCATCTAAGAATTAAAACTATGAGGCTGAGGAAAGGAGTATCCACATGGGGAATATACAGGGCCCGGCACAAATAATGTCGCTTTTTTCTATTAAAAAAAGCATTTATTACAAAATCATAAGCAAGTAATTCTGTAACATAACACTATCATGCTCAAGCACACCATATGACATTTTAGATTAAATGTTCAAATTAAAACTATACATTATTACACCCATATTATTACCCTACCAGCCACACTCAAGCAGGCCTTAACTTCTGCCAGACCCTGTATATGATGTCTGACTGAGATACTTTGCCATAGTATAAAGGTGAATCTGTTTTGCTCCTCTTCATCAGGAAAATTGCTAGCAAATAACAATTGGTCCTTCTGAATGACTAATCTCAGAATAGTAAGGGGAAAAAAGGAAACAAAAACAAAACAACCAAGAAGCCTGGCTGTACCTGGTAGCTTAAGTTCTTCTAATTCAATCACTGAGCGATTGCTGCTGTAATAGTCCTTCAGTAGTTTCTGCAGGTCTTCAGGTGTCCCTGGTTTTGGCTCTGATTTTGCAAGAATGTCAGTAATTTTCTTCTAAGATGCAAGAGGAAAGAAAAAGAGGGAGGAAAGATTTTAGAATGGCATTTGGCTTAGGAGATATTGATTCCTCTTGCATTTTAAACTGCACACAGTTTTTGGTCATGGTTGAGGATGAATGGGAATAAACACATTTGAGAAAACTGGACAGATACTTCTTGGACATTACTGCTTTGAAAAATGAATGGGTGACCTCAAAGATTCCTTGTAAGTCTTAGTTACAAAGACTTCTAGGAAAACTGACATTTTTAAGGCACTGACTCTCACTTTGGATTTCTGGGGTTAAAGTTAAAGCTGCAGAAGCCATTTGAGCATAAGACACACTGAAAAAAGGAACTTTTAGACCCTCAATTCTCAAGTCTTGGGAGACAGTCTTAAAGTTGTCCTTGGGAACTCAGAACAGGAAATATTGTACAACATCTATTTTGATCTGGATTTGTTTGTGCAGCACGTACTGAATGCCTGCAATGTACTAGGAACACACAATCTTTCATCACAAACTTCTCTTCTCATTTCCTTCTACTGTTTCACCAAAGATCTAGAAAGAGCCATTCCCCATCCACCCCTAGTCCCCAGCTTTTTTTCCTCCTTCCACAATATCCTAATTTTTACACTACTGCCAAGAATGGTCAAAGTCCTGTCAAATGAAGTAACTTTTAAAAAGATGTCATCAGTGGGCACATATTAGCATGACCTCATCCAAGGCTAACCTATCTAGCTAGGCTCTGACCTTAAGCCACCAAGAACTTAACACTCCTGAAGGCCATTAATGCACAAACTATCAAAGAGAAGTTAAAGTTACTTCTTTAAGGACTTGCCAAACCTCAGCCAATTTGGCATCTCCTATCTTCCTACTTGGCCATTTGCAAGCAAAGAAAACATATGCACACACACTACAGTTTTCTAAAAGCTTGCTGTTAAGTAATTGGTTTGAGTCCATCTTCTTTCCTCTAATCTCAATCATATTTCCTCTGCTGACTTCAGCAGTAGACCCTTCCTGGCAGGGAGAGAATTACACTCCTGTTTTCACAACTGTGGTGGAAGGTCAAAGCTAACCACACTTTCTCCAAGTCTGAGCCATAAGAAAGTTTGTATAGGAGCAACAGAGTCTTCCTTCCATATGCTCACAGGCAAGTATTAAAATGCAAGGGGATCATTTTGCTTCAAATTATGGTTCTAAATGAGAGTCAGAAATGCCTTATACTACCTTCGTCTGCTTATCATTTTCTCTGTTAATACTCTAAGATAAAAGGTTTTAGAAATTGAAATGGTTAAGAAAAGGACATTAGTATATTTCTTTCCTTGGACAGAGTTAGAGGGGCCAGCGGGCAGGACAGCTCTGGGCCCCTTCTAGAATTAGAAACCCATGTCTGACTGCTAACCACAGTGAAAACACAGGGCGGGGAAGAAAGATGTTTAGTGCTCCACAAAACTGAAACAGGAATCAGGAGGATTTATTTTTAACTCCAATAGAAACACTTATTACAAGCGATCTTTGGAAAGTCACCAAACCTCAATGAATCTTACAATTTTTGCATCTCTAAAGTGGTGATTACAATAATTGTTTCATCAAAGTACACTATACATAAAGGTGATGAAAACGATGTAGGGCCATGCTATTGTAAGGAATTAGTAATATTACCTTTTTCCTCTTCTTGGTCTTGGTGGAATCTTCATTTGTTTCCTTTGGTTGTACCAAGAAACATTCCTTAGGCTGCAAAAAATACAAATGAGAAAACTTTCCTCTTAGCATGATGAGTTGTCAACTAATGGTACCAATCCCAAAGTACCTACTGCCAGAAATACACTTTTCAAAGTATCTTGGTAATATTCTACAGACAGAGGGATGCTGGAAGATCCACTGTAGGATATTACACGGCCTGGAAAATCTTTGAACAAAGGTCAGAATGTGTGAGTGCATGTGTGTTTGGGGTGGTGGTGCAGGGTCTTAAAGATTAAAGACAACAGCCAGGTCTGTGAATACAGGCAGATAGAGATGTGATTAAAAAGAAGATGTGACAAGCAGGTTTGACTAGTTTGACTGGCGTTTTCCATGAGCTATCAATGTGTGAGCCTATATTTTCAAGTCACTCGTTTATTATTTTGTTTATTACTTTGTTATTCTTTCCTTTTCTCAATAAGCATAGAAAATCTGAAGTAGAATATATTTAATTATATTTTTATAAAACCTGCAACCAATGTCTTAGCTATCTACAGTGACTACAAAATGAATGTTTCTACTGATGGTCTGAGAAACCTCAGCATCACGGCATCTTGATCCGTTTTGCCTGTTGTCTTGACCCCTGGGTGAGCACCCTATACAGTTCAGTGCTATTTTTACCCTGTCTTTTTTTTAAATGTAGAAAAACAGGAAATCTGGACTAAGGCTTCGATTTATAAAATAGAATGCCTCAGATTCCATATTTATTAATCATAAGCAGGAATATAAAATGTTTCCTGTGCTGGATATTTTATGCAACATTTTCAAACAAGTTGCCAAGTAAGATGTAAAATGTAAGTGAAAACTTATTCTGAATTTTTCCTTAAGTTTCCATTCCAACTAGAGAGTACTCAGTTTAAGCTGGTAAACTACTAACTAAAGCAATTTTGTCTCCACTGGTTCTGTTTAAAATGATTACAGACAAAGCTTTCTCTCCAAGTTTGCAGACAGTCTGCAGATTAAGAACGCCTATGGCCTGAAGCCAGAGAAGAGATACATAATGCTACATAATTTCTTCAAGACACAGGGCTGGGATCCGCAGCTTCTAGACTCTATTTCAGTTAGTACAGAAGAAGATTCAAAAGGCTCAGGATGAAAGTAATATGGAATCTTGAAATTTTAGCTTCTTCACAGTTAAAACAAACAAACAAACTACAGAAAGCAATTGCATCATAGCTAAAGAATAAAAAGATATTACGACCTTTCTTACTTAGAAAGTTAAGCTGTCTTGTGGATGCAGCAGATACATGCCAGTTAGAAACTGGGCCAAGGCCACTAATATGTCACAGAAGCTGCCAGATGGTCGTAAGAGTCCAATTATACACCAGGCCAACATTCAACTCATGCTCCTAAGGCAAAGGCCTGGATATGATTAGCAATCCCTCAAGGCATACTGCAATATCTTGTCACCAGTATCAACTTGTTTGGGAAGCAGATGTAGGTAGAAACTTGTTCCATTTTCTTACTTAGCAAATGGTGGTGCTTTTTAAGGTATGTTCAATGTGCTGGGTTGCATTTATGAAAGATTTTACAAAGCCAATCAACTCAACATGACACAAACCTGGAAATGAACTCAGTTATAAGGATACAGATTATGGAAGAAAAATAAAAATGTAATTCTGAATCATGCATAGGAAAGAACAAACATATTTGATGAATTGCTCTAGTCAAGATATAGGATCAGGTTACATGTTAGGTTCAAATTCTTAGATCATACTAAAGAAAATGCAGTATAATATATGTTTTCTGGAAGCAGTTACTCCAGCTGGTTGAGGTAGGGTGCTAATGAAGAAGCCAAGTTTATTGGGTCAGTCTCCATAATGGTGAGATGGCTTTATGAGAAACTACAAATCCACAGTATTGAAAATGCCTAAATTAGCTGTCTTATGAATGCTGCTATTTACCCTCAGAGAGACTAGAAGATATGGAAGACACAAGCCAGGCTAACTAACCATTTAGGTTAACCAATTCCAACAGTATATGTTTTTGATAGTTGATAAGTAATGTCATTATACAAAATATAGTATTTTCAATATATAGCAAAATATGTAGTTATTTAAAAATTTTTAAAATAATCTCTATTGTAGTTTTTTCCCATTACTAGTCTGTCCCCTGGTATCCACCTTCCCCCAGCAATCATCACACTGTTGTCCACGTCCATGAGTCCGTTTTCCTTTTTGCTCAGTCCCTCCTCCCCCTCACTTCCTCCCTCCTACTAGCTATCATCCCGCTTTCCATCTATGAGTCTGTCCTCATTTTGCCAGTTAGTTCAGTTTCTTCATTAGATTCCACATGAGTGGAATCATATGTTATTTGTCTTTCTTTGACTGGCTTATTTCACTTAGCATAATTTCCTTCAGGTCCATCCATATTGTTGGATAAAATTTTCTTTATCTTTTATTTTTATGGCTGAGTAGTATTCCATTGTGCAAATGTCCCCTAGTTGTTACAGCCACTCATCTATTGATGGACATTTGGGTTGATTCTACATCTTGATGATTGTAAATAATGCTCCAATGAACATGGGGAGCTTATGTTCTTTCAAATTAGTGTTTTGGGCTCCTTCGGATATATTACTAGAAGTAGGACCACTGGGTCAAAAGGCAGGTCCATTTTTAATTTTTTGAGGAATCTCCATACTCTTTTCCACAGTGGCTGCACCAATCCACATTCCCACAAACAGTGCAAAAGTGTTCCCTTTTCTTCACATCTTCACCAGCACTTGTTTTTCAATTTATTGATGATAGCCATTTTGACAGGTGTGAGATGGTATCTCATTGTGGTTTTAATTTGCATTTCTCTGATGATTAGTGATTTTGAGTATCTCTTCATATGTCCATTGGTCATTTATATGTCCTCCTTGGAGAAGTGTCTCTTCAGATCCTTTGCCCATATTTTATTGGGTTGTCTGGGCTTTTTTTGGTGTTGAGTTTTGTAAATTCTTTATAAATTTTGGATATTAACCCTTTGAGCAGATGTATTGGTGAATATGTTTTCCCATTCTTGGGATGTCTTTTTATTTTGTTGATGATTTCCTTTGCTGTGCAAAACTTTTTAGTTTGATATAGTCCCATTTGCTTATTTTTTCTTTTGTTTCCCTTGCCTGGGGAGATATATTGCATATGTATTTGCTACAAGCAATGTCCAAGATATTGATGCCTGTGTTTTCTTCTATGATTTTTATGGTTTTGGGTCTAACATTTAAGCCTTTGATCCATTTTGAATTTATTCTTGTGTGTGGTGTTAGATGGTGGTCTAGTTTCATTTTTTTGTATGTAACTGTCCAGTTTTCCCAACACCATTTACTGAATAAACTATCTTTAGCCCATTGTTTGTGCTTGCTTCCTCTGTTGAATATTAATTGACCATAAAGGTGTGAGTTTATTTCTGGGTTCTCTTCTGTTCCATTGGTCTTTGTGTCTGTTTTTATGCCAGTATCATGCTATTTTTATTTCTGTGGCCTTATAGCATAGTTTGATATTAGGTAGGGTGATTCCTCCAACTTTGTTCTTTCTCAGAATTGCTGTTGCTGTTTGGGGGTCTTTTGTGATTCCATATACATTTTTGAAATATTCTAGCTCTGTGAAATATGTCTTTGGAATCTTTATAGGAATTGCATTGAATCTACAGATTGCTTTGGATATTATGGACACTTTAATGATGTCAATTTTTCCTATCCCTGACCACCATATGTGCTTCCACTCATTTTTTTCTTCTTCAATTTCTTTCAGTGTCTTGTAATTTTCCAGCTACAGGTCTTTGACATCCTTGGTTAGGTTTATTCCTAGGTATTTTATTCTTTTTGAAGCAGTTGTGAATGGAATTGCTTTCTTAATTCCCCTTTCTGTTAGTTTGTTATTGGCATATGAAAGTGCAAGTGATTTCTGGATATCAATTTTGTTTTCTGCTACTTTGCTGAATTCATTTATCAGTTCTAGTAGTTTCTTGGTGGAATCTTTGGGGCTCTCTATGTACAGTATCATGACATCTGCAAATAAGGACAGTTTTATTTCTTTCTTTACAATTTCAATGCTTTTTATTTCTTCTTCTTGTTTGATTGTTGTGGCTAGGACTATGAGTACTACGTTTAATGAGAGAGCTGAAAGCAGACATCTCTGTCTTGCTCCCGATCTTAGGGGGACGCCTGTAGTTTTTGCCCATTGAGTATGACGCTGGCAGTGGGATTGTCATGTATGTCCTTTATTTCATGTGTAGGTATTTTCCCTCTATTCCCACTTTTTAAATCATAAATGGGTACTGGATATCAAATACTTTTTCTGCATCTATTGATACGATCTTTTTTTATCTTTTATTTTATGTAGTGAATCACATTTATTGATTTGCAAATATTGTACCAACATTTCATCCCTGGAATAAATCCCACTTGATCATGGTGTAGGATCTTTTTGATGCATCACTGTATTCGGTTTGCTAATATTTTGTTGAGGATTTTAGCACATGAGAGATATTGGCTTATCATTTTTGTTCTTTGTAGTGTCTTTATCTGGCTTTGGAATTAGGATAATGCTGGCCTCATAAAATAAGTTTGGGAGCCTTCCCTCCTGTTGAATTTTATGAAATAGTTTGAGAAGGAGAGGTGTTAATTCTTCACAGAATGCTTGATTAAAATCACCTGTGAAGCCATGTGGTCAAGGGCTTTGGTTTGTTGGGTGATCTTTTAAATTACTGCTTCAATTTCAGTAAGTATAATCTGTCTATTCAGGTTCTCTGATTCTTCCTGATTTAGTTTTAGAAGATTGTATATTTCCTGGAGTATCCATTTCATCCAGGTTGTCCAGTTTGTTGGCACATAGTATTTCCTTACAATCCTTTGTATTTCTCTGGTGTCAGTTGTTATTTCTCCTCTTTCATTTCTGATTTTATTTATTTTGGTTCTTTCTCTTTTTTCCTTGATGAGTCTGGTTAAAGGTTTGTCAATCTTGTTTATCTTTTCAAAGAATCATCTCTTAGTTCATTGATCTTTTGTATAATTT